AACTCAGTGCTTTGTGCTTACAAAGAAGGCACTCTTCTGTTTTAGTCACTCTGCTAGCCCCTGGATAGTAGCTTTAGAGGGACACATTCTTTTTTAGATTAGGGTCCTTTCAGTCCCATAGTGCTTCCTTCCTGGGAATGTATGCAGAATCAAATTGAGGAGCTGGGGATGAAGCTCAGTGATGGAACACTTGCCTAGCATGTACCAGGCCCTGAGTTCTACCCTTAGCACTGAAAAAAAAAAAAAAAAAAAAAAGAAGAAGCGGATTAGTTGAAAGCTCAGAAAGCCACCACCAAGAACAGACAGAAGTTGTATACAAAGCTGGCTTCTCCACATACCTACTCAAGCAATATGTCCCTCTAAAGCCACACATCTCTAAGTCTCAGTTTCCCTGATTCTATGATAGGAATATGACCTATAGCATAGACCTATTGTGAAAATTAAGTGGGAAAATGTGTGTAAAGTACTTAACACAGTACCTGGTATAGAGTTGGTACTTAATGCATATTTTCTATTTCCTTTCCTTGGAAAGAGCAGTAGTGAGGTAAAGATAGAATCTGAGGCAAAACACATCCATGGAACCCAATTCTGGCTCATGCTTTACCATCTCTTTCTCCATCTCCCCCAAAGAACAAGTTAACTCAGATCTTGTTCCTCCTCTGTCTTGGAGTCTTCCCTAGATGTGGAGGTTTGGGGTAGGGTAGGGAATGTGAGTTGACCTTTCAGAGACCAGGAAAAAGATCCAGGAGTGCAGGGAATGAGTCTCTTTCAGGTACTCAGCTGTTTCCCTGATTCAGGGGGATTCCCCAGGTTTCTGACTTAGGTTTGCATTACCTGGATAGACTGGTTCTTATACTGGGTAGTAGTTCTTTGGTGAGAAAGGAGGGGGATGGGAAGATGAGACTGCACCTACTGAAGCATGACCTGTTTTCAGCAAAGGACTCACCCTCAGTCTGTCAGTTAAGCAGTCTGCCCAAGATTTAGGCCACCCAGGATTTGCACAAGGCGTTGCCCTGTTACCCAGAACAACTTACTGGCAGGAGAATAGGTCTTGTATCAAACACACACACACACATACACAAGTACACTCACAGCATTCATATTCACACATGCTGCCATACTCACACTCATACAATTACACACACACACACACACACACACACACACACACAGAGTGACTAGAACTTACAGCCCTCCATCTCTTTCCTTCTCTATCTCCTCTCTCCTTCCCAGTTCAAAGAATCTAGAACTAAAGACATTTGGAAACACACACACACAAAAGATCCAATGCCGTCCCTAATAGTGAAGGCAGTCCTCAGAATCTGCATGGAAATGGGGACAATATGGATCCAGAACTGTGTCTTACTGAGCACTGATTATTGAATTTGGTTTCTTTTTGGACCAAATTTGGATATAGGAGGAATGATGCATGTGTATGTGTGTAGGTAGGGGTGTGTTGTGTATGTATGTGTGTGTGTGTGTGTGTGTGTGTGTGTGTGTGTGTGTGTGTGTGCGTCTTGCTAGAATGTCTTACTGGCAGGAGGGGAAAGGAGGTTGTGTTGAAGTACACCTGTTATGGTTAAGGTTAAGGTTGAGGTCCAAGGGAGGTCATGAGTCTACTCCAGGTCCCCAAGGGCCAGACAAGCCAGCCTTTTGCCCCTTCCTTAGGTGGCTCTGGTTCTCCTAGTCTCTGTCCTTCTCCCTTCAGCTGTTAGTAGAGACAGACTAGTGGTAGCAGATAGACAAGAAGCTTCTGGAACAGAAAGCAAGTCCTGCTTTTCATTCTGTATTCCTCTTGCCCATTGTAGAAGGAAGATCCAAAGTTACTTTTTGAGCTAGGAGTGGTAGCATACACCTGTAATCCCTCTACTCCAGAGGCAGAGACAGGAGGATCATTAGTTCAAGGCCAACCTGGGCTACACAGTGAGATCCTATCTCAAAAAAACAAAAACAAGCCAGGCATTAATGGCTCTTGTCTGTAATCCTAGCTACTCAGGAGGCAGAGATCAGGAGGATTGAGGTTTGCAGCCAGCCTGGCAAATAGTTCACAGGACCCTATTTCAAAAAAATTCATCACAAATAAAGAGCTGGTGGAGTGCCTCAAGCTGTAGGGCCTGAGTACCATCAAAAAAAAAAAAAAAAAAAAAAAGACAAAACAAAGCAAGCCCCAAAGTTACCTCTTTGTCAGGGAGAAAAGGAGTGGCCCTATGCCAAGAGCAGAGAAGGGAGAGAGCAGAAGTAACTCCCCTCCTTGGCCTCCTCTCTTCCAGCCTTTGCCTTCTTACAGGAGCACAGACTGCAAAACAACCCAGCTTCTTGCCAAGAGTAGAGTTAAGCCGACTGAATTTCAGCTCTGGCTGCCTCTGCTCCCTCCTCCTCACTGGCTGCAAATTCAAGGAGGTAGTTTTGACCCCCGACTACTTTTTCCCTATAGTGACCAACACCCAGCAAGAAGCAGGAAGTGGGCAGGACCACCAAGGCAGTAAACTGAGCAGTGGACCTTGGGAGGACCCAGGGCAACTAAAGGGATTATGTTGTGCCAGTGGCTATATTGAGGCTGGTGGGAAGCAAGATACATCATGCCAGGGGCCCTGAGTTTAAGAAGCCCTGACAGATACCTGGGCTTGGCTCCTGGCACTAGGAGTCAGGAAGGCTTCAGACTAGGCAGCTAATGGCACCTCACCTCTCAGCTCTCCCTTCACAGTATAGTGGGAGGAGGTAGAAGGGGTGGAGGCTGAGCTCAGAACCAAGTTTTCCTGAAAAGCCTCTTTACTTGTTTGTCCTAGCCCCTCCCAGTTCCTCCCACGCTCTGCTGCAGCTTCCCAGCTCTGGCTCAAGGGCCAGGGAAGGCCAGAGAAAAGCCCACTTCCCTCTCTTTTGCCTGCTTTTGCTGGGGGTGGGGAACAAAGCTAAAACCTAGTTTACTCTAAGATGTCCATCTCTGCTGGATATCAGAGGTTCTGTGGTCAAATCAGCAGCCCAGTCAACCACCTTCACTGGCCTCACTGCCCAGCTTAGTCTTTTCTTTTTTAGTGGCACAAAATTCATGGCTCTATGCTTGGCCAGACAGGCACTCTTACTGCTTGGCCCACTCTGCAAGCCCTTTTTTATGATTTTTTTTTTTCTTTTCTTTTGTAGTACTGGGGCTTGAACTAGGGCCGCTTACTTTGAGCCACTCCACCAGCCCTATTTTTGTGGAGGGTTTTTTGAGATAGGGTCTTGTGAACTATTTGCCCAGGCTGGGTTAAACTGCAATCCTCCTGATTTCTTCCTCCTGAATAGCTAGGATTGTGAGCCACCAGCGCCCAGCTAAAATCTTCTTTAATCTTTTTTTTTTTGGTTGCACTGGGATTTGAACTCAGGACCTCATGCTTGCTAGGCAAACCCTCTACCACTTGAGTCACTCTGCCAGCTGGGGATTTTTTTCAAGATAGGGTCTCCCAAACTGATCTCTGCCTCCTGAGTAGCTAGGATTACAGGTGTGAGCCACCAGCACCTGGCTCCAGCTTACTCTTTCCTTGGTGCCTCCTCCCCACCCCCCCGCTTTTTTTTTTTGAGTTGGGGTCTCATTATGTTGTCTAGTCTGGTCCCCATATCCTGAACTCAAGCAATCCTCCTACCTCATCCTCTCAACTGGGACTACTGGTGTGAATCACTGTGCACGACCCATAACCTTTTCTCTGCCTCTTGGACGATTGTCATATTTCCCAGGCAGCCATCAAGGCTGCCCTTGAGCTGCCTATGAACAAGAAGGCAAAGGCTTCCCACCTGAAGAAAACCCTCCTTAGAAGCACTCGGGCTGAGGAGAACTTGGCAGGGTCTGCAGATGGCTTAGGCTCACCTGGCTGTTTGAGGAAGTTCCCATCTCTCCAGTAACCCAATTCCTCTAAGAGGACAGACCTCCGCTCCAGACCTGAAGTCCTGTCTTTCACCCCTGGGATAATTGCTGCTCTGAAGAAAGATACTAGCTGTTTCTAAGCCCTGTTTAGTATTTCAGTTGCTTATCTACCCATCATCTTGATGTTCAGGGTGGGCAAATGAAACAAGAAATGGATGTTTGACTTTGGGCTAGTGAACTTCTAAGCTTCATTTTTTTTCCTCAGTAAAAACAGGGAGGATTATTATTATTATTAATACCAATTATTATTTCAGTGGTACTGGGGTTTGAACTCAAGGCCTTGCACTTGCCAGGCAGGCAGGCACTCTACCACTTGAGCCACACCTTTAGCAGGAGAGGGAGGATTAAGATGATCTTCATGTTCTCTTCTGTGGAATCCACCTGCTACCCTCAAGAACTAAGGGAAGGGTAGGGGGAGGCACTCTGCCCCATTACTTTAGGACCTGAAAGCACTTTCACCAGGAAGTTCTCCTCTGTTGTCCTTTTTATTTTACAAAGGGAAGTGACTCACCCCCCAATGTCACCTTGAGTGGGTGGTGTGGTGTCATACAAGCAAACAGGGAGTCCCTAGGGATATCCCCACCTCTGACAATCCTTTCCCTTGGGGTGTTCTCTATAAGGGGAGTAGGAGAGAAAAGGGGTCACACTGCCTTTCCTTCTTAGGCCTTGTCTCTGTACCAGAAGACAGCTTAATCTCCTGACTCAAGGGAAATCTCCCTTCCCTCCTTGTCTCTCTCCCCGTGTCACCAGTAACCTCAGGGTGAGGTCAGTCCTGCAATCACGTGAAGCGCTCACGTTTGCAAAGTTTGCAGAAAGGGCCTGTTAGCTTTGATCTCTCAGGAGCAGCCAAGCTTGCCAGTCCCTCCCCAGGAATTCACATGCCCTTGCCATACAGGCTTTCCAAACACGCCACCCTGACTCTTCAGCGCACCCCACCCAATTCCACTTCCAGCTCCTCCCTGCTGCCAGCAAACACTTTTGCAAAGCAAAAGGAGGAACTATACACAGTCCGCCTCCTTTGTCAGTGGACTACAACTCCCAACAGTCTTAATGGTGCGCAGGCGCACGGAGCTCAACGTGCCGGCTGCTGGAAAAGTGTGTCACTGGGGCACGAGGCGCTCCCTGGGATCACATGGTACCTGCTCCAGTGCCGCGTGCGGCCCGGGAACCCTGGGCTGCTGGCGCCTGCGCAGAGCTCTCTGTCCCAGGGAAAGGTTGGGGCAAAAGGCGACTGAGATTGGCAGAGTGAAATATTGCTGCCCGGGGAACGTAGCAGGGCACACGTCTCTCCTCTTTGCGCCTGGGTGCTCCGTTTCTCCCAACACCTACTTAACTTCCTGGTTGCAACCTCTCTGTCTTTCTGGGACTTTTGCACTGGGAGCTCCAGATTCGCTACTCTGCAGTGCCGCGGAGCCGGCAGGCAGTGGCACCCGGTGCACTGCAGAGACACGACCCTCCTTGGTACCTTCTAGCCAGAACGACTGCAGGTCGATTCCCACCCCCACCACCACACTCTGCTCTTCCCATGCAGAGCAGACCTCCGTGGCCTCAGCGTCCTATCCTTCTTCAGGGCTGCAGTCAGGCCACCCCAAGGTCTTGCTGCAGGGTGCCTCGAATCCTGATCGTCATCCACTCACTGCCCACAGCCAGTGCTCAGGAGGCAAGAGCGACTATCACAGCCTCCAGTTTGTGTCAAGGCCCAGTTTGAATGACTGCTCTTAGCCGGTGAAGAAATGACGACCCTGGACTCCAACAACAACACAGGTAAACGAGATTCTTTTATTACTCTCATCCTGGCTCTGTCACTGTCACCCTACTTCCATCTACAGCTTATAAAGAGAAGAACTTTGTAAGTGACTGGGGATTCCCCATGCCTGGGGCTTTGCTAGCGTGCTGAGGAGTCATCGGGTGGGTTTCGTGCTGGGACTGAGTCCTGAAGCGCACCATCACCACTCCTCAGAGTCCTAAAGCTCCTTTGAACCTGAAAGATGCGAATTCCGGGCAGGAAGAAATGGAGAGGTACGAGTGGTGAGATGAAGAGTTTAGAGGGACTGAGGGCTTTGGAGCAGTGCCCTGAAACGTCCCATCTGTCTGCCCCCTGCAACTGTGGAATGCCTGACCTCGGAAGGAGGACCTCTACGCTTCCGTTCCCCCTTCCTCTAGTTCCCGCAGGCACTAGGGACTTTGAGAAGCAAGAGAGGCTGGGGAAATGGGTCGTATCTCACAGGGGAATCCTCAATGACAGTAGGAAGCAGCACTTGAGGAATCCGCAGTGTGGTGCTCAGCCCCAGACAGGGCACCCATAGCACCCGAGCTCAGGGAAGGCTCACATGGCCATAGAGCTGGGCCCACGTGCTGCATTTGTTTTCATTCAGCAGAAGCCGTGGCTGTCATCCCATTGGTTGTTGATTCCCGGCCCCGTTACATAATGAGCACCGCCCCCTGGTTGCCAGGGCAACGCGTGTTCCCATCTCTCCTCCCCATGCCTGTCCCGGCCCAGCTCTGGTTCTGGGCCCAGCCCAAGACCCAGGACGCCGCAGAGGGGGCGGGGTGAGGGCGGGGCTGCTGCTCTTAGGAGGACGGGAAGCTCTCGAAGAGGGTGGAGCCTCGAGTTCCGGGGTTCCTCGTTGGGGAGCCACGTGCGAGGGGCACACGTGGAGCAGGGACGTGAGGCCGGCTGAGGGCCGGCTGAGGGCCGGACTCCCGCCCCGCCCCGCCAAGATCTGGGTGAAGCTGGGCTGACTCACTGCCCCCGCCTGCCTCCTTTTCCTGTCTGCCTGCCCTGACCTCTTCCTCCCGCTTCACTGGGGTAGAGTGAAATGGGGACACCCCGCACTCAACTTTAAGCTTCCCAAAGGGACCTCACACCTAATCACCCTTCTCGCTCCTTTCTCCTTTTTTTGATTTGTACTTCACTGAATTTAGACCCAATCTCCAGTTCCCCACGCATCTTTCCTTCACCTGCAAGCACTGTCTTCCTCTTACCTCCCTCAAACAGCTATAATCCCACAATCATAGCTTTCATTTCTCTTTTTCTCAAAGAAAGAAAAACAGACCCAGAGAGGGGGAGTTGATTTTTCTCTAGGTTACAAAGCAAGTTGGTAGTGATAGATCTAGATCTAGAATTTAGTTCTTTTGAGGGTGCCCCTCGCTTCAAAGTTGGAAGTCTCTTTGGATGATGGTCTCACTTCCTGTTTGAGAATGGGTAAACTAGGTCAAGTTCATTTACCACCAAATAAATATCCCATCCTCTACCTCGGCCCTGAAACTGTAGGAGCTGATCTGTTGTGCAACTATTTTACAGGGAGCTGGGTTCACCCTGAGCAACCTTGAGCTATTTTAGGTTGCCCTGCCCAGTTTAGTGTGTGTCAGTGGGTGAGCAAGACATGTGCCTCTGTAGACACTGTGGCATGGCATATGTCAGTTCACACGTGTCCAGGGATCCTCCCTTCATCCACCCCGCCCATGGCAGTTCAAACTAGGTGCTTTGGCAGAGGTGTGGCACTCAGGTCACCCTTTTTTTCCTGCTAACATCACTGGAGCAGAGCCACCTGGTTGACAGTGTATCCTGAGGACCAAAGTCCCTGAGTGGTCAGCCAAAGTTATCGCCTTGCTGAAATCTGAAAGGGGGAATTCCAGAGCCCTAGGCTGGACAATTTGTACTTCACTTCCACCTCCTGCAACTCTCACTGCTAAGTCCTTCCTAGACTCAGAGATACGTCGCTGTGACTCATCTCTTGGAGGCCAGAGGAACCAGGTTGGGCAGGTTCTTTCCCTATAGTACCTTCTGAGAATGTCTCCCAGTTTGGGGGAAATATGACTGTGTTACTTTTGTATAAGACTTCTACTCTCTTTGTTGTTAGCTAACCAGACTTCATGGTCCATAGTCTCATGGTGTTAGAATTGGCAGCTGGCTTTTTTGTGTTTTTTGGCATGATGTGTTTTTGTCAATGCTCATCCAATACGCAGTTCTGCCACTGACAACTAAATCATTAGCTGCAGTTGATATTCCCCAAGAAAGTGTCTAGGGCAGAGAGGTCATGCCTCACACCCCAAAGCAGAGCTGAATGTATCCTGCAAAGAAAGGGCTGTGGGTATTGGTTGGCCATGCCATATCTAGCATATGTTGAGTTTCTTACTGTGACTAGGTGGGTGGTGTCATATTTAGTATGTACTGGGGAGTTGCTTATTAACTCCAAGGTTAGGAGTTTCACGTGGTTGACTTTTTACTTTTTTTGGTGGGACTGGGGTTTGAACTAGGGCTTCAGGCTTGCAAAGCAGGCACTGTACCACTTGAGGTACACTTCCAACCCATTTTGCTCTGGTTATTTTGATGATGGAGTCTCTTGAACTATTTGTTTAGGTTGGCCTTGAACCATGATTCTCCCAGTCTCAGCCTCCCAAGTATCTAAGATTATAGGGGTGAGCCACCAGCACCTGGCCTTACATGTGTTTTGGGGTGCACTACTGGTGAGCACAGTGGTGCCATAGGACTGAAGACATGGCAACTGACACCCCCTTCCCTGTGTTCTCCTGCCAGGTGGTGTCATCACCTACATTGGCTCCAGTGGCTCCTCCCCAAGCCGCACCAGCCCAGAATCCCTCTATAGTGACAGCTCCAATGGCAGCTTCCAGTCCCTGACCCAAGGCTGCCCCACCTACTTCCCACCATCACCCACTGGCTCCCTCACCCAAGACCCGGCTCGCTCCTTTGGGAGCATTCCACCCAGCCTCAGTGACGACATTTCCCCTTCTTCTTCATCTTCATCCTCCTCCTCCTTCTATAATGGGAGCCCCCCAGGGAGTCTACAAGTGGCCATGGAGGACAGCAGCCGAGTGTCCCCCAGCAAGAGCACCAGCAACATCACCAGTGAGTAAATGTCCAGTTGATTTAGGGGAAGGGAAGTAGGCCAGGGCTTAGTTGGGAGTTGGTTTCCACGTGACAGTTACTCTCAGGGTCTATCCTGGCCTCCAGTATTTCTCAAGTTGCACCAGCCCCAACCCAGCTCAGTCTGGTCACCTGAGTGCTCCTTGACACTGGAGTTCCTCTGTAGCTTTACTCTCCCAGAATCTCCAGTCCAGAAAGCCTTCCATATCTCAAGCTACTCAGGCCTCTGCTTATCCATGTCTGTCTCTTCCCACAGAGCTGAATGGCATGGTGCTACTGTGTAAAGTCTGTGGGGACGTGGCCTCAGGCTTCCATTATGGAGTACATGCCTGTGAGGGCTGCAAGGTGAGGAGGGTTGGGGGTAAGGGCAGGGTCAGGTGACTCCTTCCCTAGGATACACAGGCCCAGCCTAAGATGGAGATATTCACTAGCCACTATTGCCCTCTAGGGCTTTTTCCGTAGGAGCATCCAGCAGAACATCCAGTACAAAAGGTGTCTGAAAAACGAGAACTGCTCCATTGTCCGCATCAATAGAAACCGCTGCCAGCAATGTCGTTTCAAGAAGTGTCTCTCCGTGGGCATGTCTCGAGATGGTGAGGCAGCAGTCCCACATCTTCCTCTTCTACCCAGTTTCTGATTTAATCCCTCACTTAAAAAAGAAAAAAACAAAAAACCGAGTTCCAAACCTTGACACATATTATGAATCTCATTTTTGGCGGCACTGGGGTTTGAACTCAAGGCCTCACACTTGCTAGGTTATAGTTTTGATGTGGAACCCCAGGCCTCTGAGGTTTTGCCCTTTCAGGAGGAAGGAAGAGACTCGTGAGTGTGTATGAGAACTTCCTGACAGTGCTCTCATTCTGTTGCAGCTGTGCGTTTTGGGCGCATCCCCAAACGAGAGAAGCAGCGGATGCTTGCTGAGATGCAGAGTGCCATGAACCTGGCCAACAACCAGCTGAACAGCCAGTGCCAGTTGGAGACCTCGCCTACCCAGCATACCACATCAGGCCCTATGGGCCCCTCACCACCTCCTGCTCCAGCCCCTTCACCCCTGGTGGGCTTCTCTCAGTTCCCCCAACAGCTCACACCACCCAGATCCCCCAGCCCTGAGCCCACCATGGAGGATGTGATATCTCAGGTGGCCCGAGCCCATCGAGAGATCTTTACCTATGCCCATGACAAGCTTGGCACCTCACCTGGCAACTTCAATGCCAACCATGCATCTGGTAGCCCTTCAGCCACCACTCCACATCGCTGGGAGAGTCAGGGCTGCCCACCTGCCCCCAATGACAATAACACCTTGGCTGCCCAGCGTCATAATGAGGCTCTGAATGGTCTACGCCAGGGCCCCTCTTCCTACCTTCCTGCCTGGCACTCTGCCCCTGGCCACCACAGCTGCCACCAGCCCAATAGCAATGGGCACCGTCTATGTCCCACCCATATGTACTCGGCTCCAGAAGGCGAGGTAACTGCCAACAGTCCACGGCAAGGCAACTCCAAGAACGTTCTGCTGGTGAGGACATGGAGTGGGTGCAGAGGGGGACCTGGAAGAATGGACTTAGCATAGGGCAGCTGAGTGTTCCTGGAGGCTGAGGGTGGGGAGACCCTCTTCCTAGGAGATGATTTCCTGTCCTACAATCTGGGCTTTGCCTGGGAATCTCTAATCTTTACTTGGTACCTGATGGCTGTTTTACGTTAAAGATCTTTCTTCCAGAGCCACAGCCTTTAGCCTAGGCAGAATCTGGAGGCCAGGCCTGCAGGGGAGCCTATCTGAGCCAACCTGGCTGATAACGCCCCTTCCTACAACCCTTCCTCCCCAGGCATGTCCCATGAACATGTACCCCCATGGACGCAGTGGCCGGACTGTGCAGGAGATCTGGGAGGACTTCTCTATGAGCTTCACGCCTGCTGTGCGGGAGGTGGTAGAGTTTGCAAAGCACATCCCTGGCTTCCGTGACCTTTCTCAGCATGATCAGGTTACCCTGCTTAAGGCTGGCACCTTTGAGGTGAGTGACTCTTTTTGCTCCCTGGTTTTGTTTTATTTTTTTCCTAGTACTGGGGTTTTGAACTCAGGGCCTCCCTTCTTCCTGCTCTGGACTTTGGGAAGGGTCCATGGAGTGGCTTGGTGTTTAGGGTGGGAAGGTGCTTCTGCTTGCTAGGCCAGAGCTCTACCACTTGAGATATTCCATCTGGGCAGTGGTTCTGAAAGGCTTTGGAAACTCTACCATCTGACGGACAGAGCAGAACCTCTCTCATTCTCACCTCTAGGTGGCCGAGACTTCTCGTCATCTCAGCTGGCATCTAATCACAACCCTTTATATGAAAATAATGCCACAGGGTACATTGATGCCTCCATTCTAGACATGAGCAAATTAACTTTGATAAAGTGTCTATTCCAAAGTCAGCAGCATGCTCTCTGTTCTGAACTTCCCCATTGCCCATTCAGAAATGACTACCCCCCCCAAAAAAAAAAAGGAACCTAAGGCAGCAACACCACTGAACCCTTTGACAAACTTTGGGCAGTTTGGCAAGTGTTCCTCCCACCTCACCCAATCTGACTGTCCCCTACTTCAGGTGCTGATGGTGCGCTTTGCATCGTTGTTCAACGTGAAGGACCAGACGGTAATGTTCCTGAGCCGCACCACCTACAGCTTGCAGGAGCTTGGCGCCATGGGCATGGGAGACCTGCTCAATGCCATGTTCGACTTCAGTGAGAAGCTCAACTCCCTGGCGCTTACCGAGGAGGAGCTGGGTCTCTTTACCGCGGTGGTGCTTGTCTCTGCAGGTAGGTCAAGCTCTCGCCTGACTTGGGAGGAGGCAGACGCAGTTCAATTTAACATACCTTTTATGGAGTACCTACTCTGTGCCAGGCCCTGCACCAGGCACTGGGGATACAGACATGATTCAGACACAGTCTAGCTTGGGAAACAGACTCATGCCCAACTAATTATAAAACAGTGAGATAAGTGTCACAGTAGAAGCATGAACCAAGAAAGCACAGACAACTATTTCTGCCTGGGGGAGCTTGGGAAGGAGGTGACACTTGAGTGGGGCCTCAAAGGGACAAGTAAGATGTTGCCAGGCATAGAAAGGGGGAAGGGCATCCTGGGCAGAGGGATCTACAGAGCAAATAGCAAGGGAGCCTGGCCACATGTGGCCTCTTCAGGGGAGGAGCGTGCTCTTTTCGGGATGGGGGCTGGCCAGCCTGTGGCCCATGCTCCTGGCATTTAGGCATCCCCTGCTTTTGGGCAGAGAACTGGGAGAAGGAGTGATGCTTTCCTTCTCCTTCCCTGTTGGCCCTCTGAGGGGCCTCAGGGAGAGGCTGCCTTGCCTGCCAGGTCCTCGCAGACCTCCGGGTCCTCGTCAGAGGAGCTCAGGGAGTCTGCCTCACTGCTGTCGTCTTCCCCACAGACCGCTCGGGCATGGAGAATTCCGCTTCGGTGGAGCAGCTCCAGGAGACGCTGCTGCGGGCTCTTCGGGCTCTGGTGCTGAAGAACCGGCCCTTGGAGACTTCCCGCTTCACCAAGCTGCTGCTCAAGCTGCCGGACCTGCGGACCCTGAACAACATGCATTCCGAGAAGCTGCTGTCCTTCCGGGTGGACGCCCAGTGACCCGCCCGGCCGGCCTTCTGCCGCTGCCCCCTTGTACAGAATCGAACTCTGCACTTCTCTTTCCTTTACGAGACGAAAAGGAAAAGCAAACCAGAATCTTATTTATATTGTTATAAAATATTCCAAGATGAGCCTCTGGCCCCCTGAGCCTTCTTGTAAATACCTGCTCCCCCGCCCATCACCGTACTTCCCATCCTCCCCTATTTAAACCATTCTTGCTCTCCCACCCTCTTCTGGCCCCCCAGTTTGTTCTGTTCCTGTCTCAAATCCAATAGTTCACAGCTGAGCTGGCTTCTGTGGTGTGTGCTCGTTTGGGGGTGGGGGATCTAATGCCAAGGCTGGGGAGGGGGTGGGGACACCTCTCCATCTGGTCAGCTTGTGGGGAGGGTACTCTGCCAGCAGATGGGAGGATATAGGGAAACAGCACACAAGTCTAAGGGGGGTGCTCAAGGGGGTTATTTTCATCATATATTTATTACATAAATATATAGTAAAATAGACGAGCAACAATTACCATAAAAATATCTTTCTTTAAAATCCTGACCCAAAACACAACGGGGTGAAAAATCGCACATAACAGACATACTGATTGTCAACGTGGGGCAGGAGTAGGAGCCCCGCAAGTCACCCCTACCGGTCCCACCCCTCCCTGGGGAAGGGACCTACCTCCTTCCCTGTTTCTGGCCACAACCCCCCTCCCCCCACCCCAGCACCAGCTTCTCATACATTCAGTAGCGCCTCTGGGCAGTGTCCCCCTCCCCCACCCAGGAGTTCCCAGGGCAGGAAGTACTGTCCCCCTTACCAGACGGTGTCTGTGTCACACGCCCTGCCCTCTCCCAACCCTGCAGACCCGCCCCCCCGGGGGGGGGGGAAGGGGTAGGGGCTCCTCCTCCCCCACCCTCCCCAAGTCTGAGCAGGGAGGGGCTGGATGAGGTATGTGTGTTATAAGTGATGGGAGGGGGAATACTGAGATGGAGAGGCGGGTGGTGGGGGCGGGGTAGTGGTCATGGCTCTGGCACCCCCTTGTCCTAGCCTGGCTCCCTCAACCTATTCCCAGCAATCCATCCTCCCACCAATACTGCACCTGCTGCCCCACCCTGCCTGCCGTAGTGCCCTGGGCCAACACCGGGGGAGGCATGCTAAGCACCCACGCCAAGGCCATCCCCCCATTAGCACCAATGGCCCCCAGGAGAGGGCCCTGTCCCCCACTTCCACAGCAGGGACTGGGACAGCTGCCTCTAGAGCAGGTGCGTGGCACTCCTGAGTCTCCCTGGCTCCTCCCCCACCACATGTACTCACTCACACATTCACCCAGAGAAACTGCACACATACACCCCACGTCACCAAGTAGAGGGGAGGGGCTGAGGGGTTGGAGGATCACAGCTCATTTGATTGGGGATGGTGGGGGGATTCCCAAGTGCCTATAACAGGCAAAGTCCATGGCTGAGAATGGGGTTGGAGGGGCAGGGGTGGGGCTGGAGAAAGGTGGGAAACTGCAGGCAGGGGTCAGGAACTTCACTGGGTCCCCAGGTGTGGGAGGAAGTTCTGAGAGGGTTTACCCATGGGACTGGTGGAATACAGGAATCAGTACTCCAGGAGAGAGAGAGAGAAAGAATAGAGACAGACAAAGATAGCACAGGTGGCCCAAGGGTAGAGGGGAAGAGGAGAGGGGCAGGCACACACACAGGTGACAAAGATGCTCCTTTGGGCCCTCCACTGGGTGGTAACACCTGAACAGTGAAGGACACTGCCCTGTCAGGCAGCATTGCCGTGTGTGTGGTGTGTGTGTGTGTGGTTGGTGTGTGTGTGTGTGTGTGTGTGTGTGTGTGTCTAAGTAGGGGGCTGTGGCAGGCTGAGGGTCAGAGTGGGGTGGCAGGTTCCCCACTGCTTAAGACATTTTTGCCCCAATAGTGCAAAGCGCAGGAAGCCCTGGCACCCTTCCCCCACCCCCTGCCCCATTCCCCATGGCTTCCGGGGGCATATATGTCCACCCATCCATCCCTGCCGACATGCAGCCCTGAGGCCAGGGCCCTCTGGTCTGTTGTGTCCCTCCTTCTCTTCCCTCCCTCTCTCCCCTGAGGGTAGGCTGTAGCCAAAGGGAGGAGGAAGAAGAGGAGGAGGAGGAGGAGGGCAGCTCACCCAAGTGCAGACCAACAGAGCACTCCTCCCCAGAGAGTGAGAGGTGGCTCAAGCCAAAGTCCCTGAATTAGAGAAAAGAGGAGGGAAAAGGGGTCCCAGGGGCAGAGGGGCAGCTGGCCTGAAGAGCTTCAAAGAAAATAGGAGGAGCACCAACTTCCTCCTCCCCTGGGGCCCCAACTAAGTGCCACTGATGGAAACATCCCCATTATGTGCCCACCCACCCCGAGTCTGGGTTAGTGCATTGAATGGGGGTGGGGAAGATGGAGGACAGAGGTCAGAGGGAACCAAGAAGACAGACAGGAAACAGGGAAACAGTCCTACAGGGTAGAGGCTCTGGGAGATGCTCACGCACAGCCCCTCCCCCACGCAGCAGCATCTGGATTGTAGCTAATGCTGCAGGATGGGGAGGGAAGGAGGCTGGGCCACAATTTTTCCTGTGTGGGTGCCAAGGTGTGGGAGGAGGGGGACAGGGAGGCCCCTGCGGTTGGGCACTTGAAAGGGGAGCTGTGTGGGCAGCAGGGCAGGCTGGTGAGGGGCCAGCTGGCATCCAGCGTGAGAGGTAGATGGAACTCAGCGGGCACGAGTGGCAGAGGGCAGAGGAAGTACTAGGGTGGGGGGGTGCCAAAGGGGCACAGGGTAGGGGCAAGGCAAGGGGGTGCCAGAACCCTGTTGTGTCAACTCACAGCTCTGATCGGCAGCCCTACCCTTGGGGGTCTGCTGGGGGGCATTCTTCTCTGATTTGGAGGGAGGAAGGGCAGCTATCAAAGTGCATGGGGGTGGGAAGGGGAGGGCCTTCCCCTCTGGCCAGCCTCAGCTAATAACTTAATATCATCTCTCTCTATCATTCTCTCTCTTTTTTTGTCTTTTTTTCCCCCCCTCTGTCTAGTTTTTCTTCATTTATCTTCTCCCCTTGCTTGGTTTCCAAAGTGCAGTTAGGATGACTATCATTTTTAGCCTCCAGGGGAGGAGCCAAGCCAAGCCATCTTTTGCACCCAGACATCTGGGGAAGTAGACGCCCTTAGCCTGGAGGGGAAACCTAGGCCAAGGAACTGGGCAGGGGCTCTCTTGTGTGTGTGTAGGGGGTGAATGAGGGCATCTGCCCCCATCCCTCATTCCTCCTTTCCCTACAGTCAAGATGGCTTGTCCCTCTTTATTCTTCCTCCCTGCCCCTATCTTTTTAGAGGACGGGGTCTTGGAAACTGCAGGACATAGGTCCCAGCCTCCCACACTGTCCTTTCATAACAAGTTCATTTGTATGCCCTGTCCCAGGGCTGGAGGTTCTGAGGGGGACTTGGGCAGTGCAGGGGTGTGTGGGAGCTGCATCTATCCAAGGATGGGAGGAAGGAGAGAAGAGGTATGTGGGGGGGGTCTCCCTCAGCCCCCAGCTCTGCCCCGTCTCTCCAGGCTCCTCCCCACCAGCTCCGCACACCCTCTGGCCTCCTGAGGCTTTAGACTTCCTGATCCTCAAAGACCTCCAGGAAGAGTGGGGGGAAGAGTTCGGTGGGGCACTCGACTTTCATGTGGAGGAAGCGGCTGGCGTGGCAGGCCCCGATCATGCGGAGGTCAGTCACCTTCATCAGCAGCTTGGGCCAGAAGTGCGGAATGTTGTGTTTGCGGTGGTTGACGTAGTGCTCGAATGCCAGCAGGTACGCCTCCTGACTCTTCTCAATCTTGTCCACACACAGCAGGCCCGAGCGGTCTGCAGGGAGGGAAGACATAATGGGTGAGGGGTAAGGGCCTGGAAGGGACACAGGGGGAAGGCATGAAAAGGAACAAGAAGGGAGACTGAGGCAGAGAGGCTGGGAGAGATCAAGGAAAGAGAATGGCACTGAGGGACTTATATAGGAGCGACCACCTAGCTGAGGCTGGGGGGGAGGGCATGGAGTGATATATAAGGAAGACAAAAGAACAGAGAGGTGGCCTGGGAGGAGAGAGAAAAGTTGGAGACAGGGAAGGAGCAAGGGGAAGGAAGAAGGGTTGGTGGTCAGAGAGGTGGGGTGGAAATGAGGGTGGAAAGGGGATTGGGGACAAGAGATGGGACTGAGAGAAAGGAAGGGTAGGGAATAGAAGGTGAATGGGAACAAAGTGGGGATAAGGGATATGTGAGTGACAGGATGAAGGGCAAAGAAAGAATAGGGCAGAGACAGGATAGGGAACAAAGCAGGGACTGGGAGGCAAGCGATGGGTCTAGGTACCAGAGGCAGGGGTGAATGACAGAGAGGTAGCCTGAGTGGGAAGCAGATAAGATAGAGAGTATGTAAGATTAAGGAAGGAGGAGAGGGACAGCTCCAGGGTTCAGCTAAGTTCTGGAGCCCTTTGAGAGCTTCTGGACCCTCCCAGCCACCAGTATGTACCTGTTGACATTAGCAGCACAGCCTGTAGCAGAGCCACTTCCGTGTCATCCAGGTTAAAGGCAGAAAGTGACTTGCCCAGTTCAAAAATGGCGTCAGAGACTACGCCCAGGCCACCATTCTTAAGCTGCTCCCGCTTGACAGCCATTTCCCCACTCAATGTCAGGGTATCACTCTCCGGGTCATAGCGGACAGCCGCCCGCAGGGACATGATCTCCATGCAGCACCCCTTCAAGAGGATGATCTGGTCTTCGCAAGGCAGCTGTGGGGAGGCAGGGCCACAGGACCGCTCAACACACCCTCTCCAAGCCCCAGAGTCTTCGCTAAAGTTACCTTGCACTGGACCATGCCCAAGCCCTTTTGCACTTAAACCTCACACTTATGCTTAAAGAGTAGATTCTATCATTCTCCCCACCCCAGAGCAGACATGAAAATTAAGATTCAGGGGACTCAGGTAACTTGGCCAAAGACCCACAGCTAGTAGGGCAGCCTGTCTGTAGTTAGTGCTGTGCAGAATGAGAACATTCAGGTTGTTTGGAGGTGGGTGGCCACAAAGATTCAAGGGGAGAGGTGCTGGGGAGGCAGGCACATGGAGCCAGCATGTGTGTGTGTGTGTGTGTGTGTGTGTGAGAAAAGGAATTACTCCCTGTCTGGAGAACCTTAGAGGAGCAGCCAGTGGAATTGGGTGACCTGGGGAGCTGCTTTGAGTTCCCTACTGCACAGTGCCATATCTCTCCTCCCATCTACTACTCACCTCGGAGAACATGGGCAGTTTTTTGGCAAAGTCCACCACACGTGTGATGGCTGGGGTGATGATCTTGGTAAACTCACTGAAGGCCTCTAGGTCTACCTTGTCTCCATCTGGCATGGAGACGATGGGTGACTGGCCAATGTCGTCAGGCTAGAGGGAGAGACGGGGGTCAGCTGGGGCTGCAGACCCCTTTCAACCTTTCACTGAGACTCCCTGCCCACCAGGGGGAGCTCCAAGGCAGCTTGGGGGAGAGGGGCTGGACAGGACTGAGCAGAACAGCTGTGTCCCACCCCTAAGACTTTTCCTTCAACCTTGGAGCAAAGGTTAGACAACCTGGGGGCAAAGGACAGACCAGAGCGAATGCTCCAAATCTGCTAATAGTAATAATGGTAAGAGTGGTAGTGGCAGTAATATAGCAGCTATAATGATTGAAAACATGTGGCCAGACATTAGGCTACAATGGTCTATAGATCTTATCTCATTTTGATCCTCACCACAACTCTATAAGGAAAATAAAATTATCACCATTCCACAGACCAGAATACTAAGGCCTAATGCAGCTAAGTAATCTGGCCAAAGTCATATGATTAGTCCTTTATAAACCACATCTGCTTGGCATTGGAACACCTGCTCTTCAAAGTGCACTGTCTACTCCCTGACATGGTCTATCAGGAACCAGGTGCCAATTGCCCAGCTCCTTCTAAATTGATCATCCACTTGGCAGTTTTTCCAGGACCTGATACAATGCCTGGGACCCAGCAGGTGTTCAAAAATTGTCATATGCTGTGTCCTCATGGTCCCCTCTCAGTCACTGTGGGAAGGAAAATGAGGAAGGGTTGTCCCTCTGGTGGAAATTTGATGGGGAAGGCAAGGCTCTGCCCTTATGGAGCTCCCCATCTGATGGAACAGGCAGGACCCAGGCAGTAGTGACATACAGGTGTACAAAATCAGAACTACAAAGTGCAGAGAGTATCAATTCTGCATTGGATTTAACCCAGGAGGCTTCCTGAGGGGCAAGCCTCTAAGTTCTCGCTCTCCTTGTACTTCTTCACTTACCAGGAATTTTCGCCTCTGCTTCCAATGGCTGCCCTGGGCATTGGTGCTGCGATGGGCCTCTGTGGCAACATGGATCAGATCCCACTCCTCTGGAGTGGGCTCTGGTCGCTGCTGCAGTGATCGGATCATCTCCTCCTTCCGCCGCCGCTCCCGGTTCTGCTCAATCAGCTTGCGCTTGGCCACCCGCTTCGAGTCATCTAGAACCACTGCCAGCAGAGAGACACAAGACTCTGCATGGTACCCTCCTTCCCCTCTCCACAGTCCTCTTAGAAGCACTTTTTCTAGTCCACAGATTGAGGAAACAGGGCCAGATTGGTTAAGTGACTTCCCAAATCAACTGCAGTTGGGTGGCACAACTTGGACCATGCTTAATCACTCGGACCATGCCAACTCCAATTTGGGCTGATCCAGAGAGATACCATGTTCTCTGATCTAATGGGTTATGGTGACAGTAGTTGCCAAATGATCCTGCCACCCAATCCCTAGCCAATGAAAGCCTTCCCTCCCAGAATCGGAGTACCTTCCCACGAGGGTGGGGAGATAGGAACACAGTGCTATAGTGGGTGTTCAGGAGTTTTTATCCAACTCTCTCTCTAAGGCCCTCAAATGATGAAAGGCAGCAGACACCGGGGCCACACAAAGGGCCTACAGAGGAATCCTATTTCCCTTGGGATGAAGGCGGCAGGGACCAAGACTCTGAACGTTCCACCACTGGGCTGACCTAGATTGACTGTCACTCTGCCCCAACCCAGGGACGGGAGTTGCCATCCCTGAACTGAGCCCCAACCCAGCTGCCTTGTTCCACTCCCCTACCCACGCCCCTTACAGTCCATGGCCATGCCCACGGCGATGCACTTCTTGAAGCGGCACAGCTGGCACTGATTACGGGTGATCTTGTCAATGACACAGCAGCTGTCATATTTGCAGGAATAGGTGGGATGAAGGTTCTTCTGGATTGTGCGGCGAAAGAAGCCCTGGAGTGGGAGGGGAAAATGGAGCAGGTTCTAATTACAACTTCCCCCTCCTGAACCAGTCACATAGTTCACTAGGGGGTGGGGAAGGGGCAAGATCAGTGAGGGTACCTGGCAGCCTCCTGACAATGCAGGCCCAGGCTCACTGGGCTCTGCCAAGCCAAAGGACCTGAGAAATACATGACTTGGCCCCCTGCAAAGAGGTGAGGATGTCTGGGGGTAACAGAGGTAAGAATGGTGACTTCAGTGGAGATCATTAAGCCTGGGATGATGTGAGATGCTACAAGGAATAGCAGCTCTGGAAGTCCAATAAGTATCTTATTTTCCATCATGCTAAATAACTCTAAAACCAACACTGATCACTTCTTGCGCATGCTGGTGGAATTCAAGAAACAGGAGGATGAAAAGGCATTGGGAATGAACTCTAGAGGTTTGGAAAGAAAAATTTCAATTCTACATATTAGGATTCATCTTTGCTTTGAAGGAAAAACCTCAAGAATCAAGATGGTATCAACATGGAGAACTAATATTTGTTGAAGCTTACTATGAGCCAGGCACTTAGTAAAGATACGCCTTTTCTTTCCATGAATGATTACATTTTTTTCTTTCTTTCTTCTTTTTTTTTTTTGTGGCAGTACTGGGGTTTGAACTCAGGGTCTTATAGCTTGCTAGGCAAGCACTCTACCACTGAGCCACTCCGTCAGCACATGCGCATCACGACATTTAACTCTGATGACAACCCTAGGAGGTAGGAACTATCACTGTTTCTATTTTGCAGACTAGGAAATTGAAGCTTGGAGAGATTATGCAATTTGCCCAAAGTCATTTGGCTAAATGGGCAGCAGAGCCAGAACCTGGCCTCAAGTAGAGGATACCAAGACCTGAGCTCTCAGATTCTAGGGGGTATTAAAATCACCTAGCACACTCACCAAAAGTACAGATTTCTGGGCCCCATTCCAGACCTACAAAATCAAACTCTCTACAGGTAGAACCAAGGCATCCCTGCCTTTTGGGGATGTTCCCCTGGAACCCAGATGTCCTTGGAGGTAAGGAGCCTTGTTCTATGCTGCACTGCTGGTACTTCTTTGAGGAGCACTGCTAAATAAACCTCTGATGGTGTTGTTTTGGATGACACTAAGAAAAAGAAACTTGAAGCTTTCATGTATTTTTAAATGGTCTGCTTCTTGGAAGGTCTGTATTTTTCAGGTGAGCCTCTGAAAAACTATATACATTGAAACAACTTAAGTAAAATCTAATTAGGCCTCACCAAGTCCTTGTCCCCTTTACCCAGGGAGAATCTGCCATCCTCTTTTCCTCTGCCCCTCCACCCCCTGACCCCCTAGTACTCGTTCTCACCTTTCAGGTACATTGGAAGCACCTGGGAAGTCTGTTTAAGGGCAGATTCCTGTGCTCCACCACAACAAGGTTCTGACTGAGTAGGTGTGGGATGCAGCCTGAGAATCTGTATTGTAACTTGTACTGCACTGATGTCTGTCCCTCTCTGGTAGGCTGTGAGTAACTGGAGGGCAGGATATATACTGCACCCCTTACTCCTAATACACTGCATGCATGAGCGATAGCTGATATTTATTCAGTGACTCTTATGTGCCTGACACATAAGAAATTATCTCCTTTAAATCTCCCAACAACTCTATGAGACAGGTAGTATAATTATCTCCATTTTATAGATTGAAAAAAACTGAAGCTCAGAGAGGTTAGGCAAATTTTCCTGTGAGTGGCAGAGCAGGGATTATGAATGAATGAATGAATGAATGCATAAGAGAAAGAAAAATGATACAAGTGGGCTCTAGGTTACATGTTTTTAGAGTCTGTCTGTCATGCCAGATGCTGAGAGACTCAAAAGGAGTGAAAGGGGGACTGGGGGGGTGGGGAAGGGGCAGGAGATGGCTGGTCCATACCTTGCAGCCCTCACAAGTGATACAGCGGTAGTGATAACCGGTTGCCTTGTCCCCACACACGACACACTGCTCGTCTTTGTCCAGGTAACTAGGGATATACCCTGGGAGGGAGGAAAGGGTGGAGGCAGTGGACATGGCATGGAGTCCAGCACATAGGCTCCTATACTTTCCCCAAACCCAACTTTTCCTTTCTGGCCCATCTCCTAGCCCAGCCTTGCTGAAGGGGTCTTTGTCTCCAGGTAGAAAGGTAAAACACTGGAGCACACTGGAGGTAATCATGTCTGTTCATTTTCCTTTGAATATACTGAATCTCATTTTCTTTCTTTTTCTTTCCTGTTTTTGTTTTTTGAAACAAGGCCTCACCATGTGCCCAGGCTAGCCTCAAACTCACAATCCTCCTGCCTTGGCCTCCTGGGAGCTGGGATTATAGACATATGCCACCATGCCCAGCAAATCTCAGTCCTTTTGAGTAACCACTCAGGATTTTTTCCTTCCTTCCTTCCACTATGTTACTAAGGCAGGCTTCAAACTCCTGGGCTAAAGCAAATCCTCCTGTCTCAGCCTCCCAAGTAGCTGGGATTATAGGCCTGTGCTACTGTCTCCAGTTAGGGCTTTTTTCTTGCTACATCAAGAGGCAGAGGATGGCAGAAAGAGAAGAACAACTGGAGCAGCCCATCTCAGGAAAATACAGCCCCTTGGTCCATTCACTCAGGCCCTGATGGAGAGGGAGTCATGGGAGAACAGAAGAGGTCCTTCCTGATCTAATCCCTCCTCAAAGGTTAGGGCATGTCCACATCATGGTTCTCAACCCCAGACAATTCAACCCATACTCTCTAGGAGGCTCTCCTCAGGGATACAGAAGTACTGTCAGAATCTAGGCCTAGAGGAAGGAAGCTCCATGTGGTCTGTAGGGTTGGAAATGAGTTGGAGAAGGGGTGCATGCAGCCAGGCTCACCTGACATACTGGTTTTCAGGGAACATTGGCCGTTCTTTCTTTTTCGCTTTCCATCTGGTGACCTGGCACTGGACGGGGGGGCAAAGTGAGAAGAATCACAGAGCAGTCTTTGAGCAGCCCCTTCTTATCCAAGGGGCTTCTACAACTCCTCAGGCTCAGCTCCCTCTGCCTTTATGTCCTTGTTCTACCACCTACCCCCACATCAGCTGACAAAGACTGGAAGGGTCTAGCTATCTGGTAGCTGCAGGGGAGAGATAAGGGCCTTGGCTGAGCCAAAAGCCCCAACACATAAGACACACACACACACACACACACACACACACACACATACATGCAAGCATTGTTCTAAGGCCCCAACACACACATACACACATATCACACATACCTATGCATACACATACATAGTGCAGAGCTTAAGCCCCCATAATCCACAAGGTATCCACATATTCAAGCCTTTAGCAGATGACGGATATGCTGAAAGAATCCTCAGAGAATATTCTTAAAGCTATGTAACCTTTAGAACACACTCACATATATATGTAACATGACACCCACGTATATGAATAACTATGCAGCCATCAGTATAAACCCAAGTATGGTAATAAGCTCTATGATCTACATATCTATGCAACTTTCAGGGCATTCTCAAATGTGTTATATGACCTCTAAAATATGCCCTCTGGACAGGAGCCTGATAATACCACCCCTTCCCCTAGTATGAACATGTTGCTTGACTTCCAGATCATGCTTATATCCTAAATAACCCAATGGAAAATACTAGCGTCATCCTGTTTACAACCTCCATTTAACAAAGCAGCAAACCAGGATGCCACTCCTCCTTGGTGACACTGTGCACTGGAGTCTGAGCCAGGGCAGGACCCTGAATCTCTCCCTGCAAGGTATTATTAGCAACCCTCAGCCACTGCACATACATGTTGCCAGGTTCTCCACATACATGTTACATAACCTCGGCTCATGCAGGTTACATAAGCCCTCTACACGCATACAAGGATTGTATAACCTTCCACACCACACCCACCCTGCGCGTGGCATGTTGCAGGGCCCCTCCTCCTGGAGGCAGATACAGCTCCCAACACACTGACACAGTGACCTTGGCCAGGGTCATGGTTACAGACAGGCCTGTGCTCCATGCTCCCTGGAGATTGCTCCTATCTGGTTCCTACAAGGCTGGAGGGTCAGGCCTCCCTCTGGCCTTCTGGAGGGGTGAGTGCAGAGGAACTTGGGCCACCTAGGCCCCAGTGGAGCTGGCCTCTTAGCAATTACCAGACTCATTGCCTCTTGTTGCAGTTACCAAATCAGCCACAAGGTGGCGCAAGGAAGGGGGGGCTTAGGGGGAGGGGCTGCAGTCCAAAGGGACTGGAATCCTGCATTCCCGCCATTGTCCAAGCTCTAAGGGCAGATTCTCCCAGAGCCACAGAAGTCTCAGCAGGGAAATACAGGAGATGCAAGTGACAGTTACACAGTGACAGGTCAGATTGTCCTCACAGCCTTGCCCGGGGTAAAGCTTTAGGGAAAGGGTCTTACCCAGTGCCCTACCTACACAACTTCAGAGCCCCATCCACTTCCTCACCCCCCCCTCCGCCCCACTACCACCACCACTGCTAGGGAACAAGTCTTGAGCCCCAGGGCTTTGCCTAACCAGGCTTCAGGTCTTCTGGCTCAGGATTTGATCTCCTAGGCAACAGCCAGCCACACTACTCCCCTGAGCACCCCCACCCCCACTCTTCCCCCCTAGTCATAGGCACAGGCTGTACCCAGCACCTGGGATATCATGCCAACTGGGGCAGAGCTCTGTCACTTGGAGCCAATGGGAAAGTCAAAGACCCTCTGGGCTGCTCAAGGGCAGGGCAGATCAAGGTAAACCCATCTCTAGTGTGCAGGACTGACACCTCACCCACGTGTAAGCAAAACCTTCATAGCTGGCATGTACTTCCACTTCCTCGGAGGAGTCTATGGTAGTGCCTGTCTTTGACCATGAACAAGAAAGAGCTTGTGGGGCTCCCAATAGATTCCAAATATAAGCATAAGCTGTAACCAATAGTTACTGGTGCCTGTGTCATATACACCATGGCTTGTGGACAACCACTTGTTGGTGGTCAGATGGTAAATGGGCTGGAAGAGAGAGGAAGAAAATGGCAAGGCCCTTTGGATCACACATGTTCAGGTGAAGACAACAATGATAGAGGGGAACAATAGGGGCACCTGAGATTGCCCAGCACTGTCAAGGTAGGGGTCACATGCCTGCTGCTCATATTACTCTGTTCTGTATCATTTCCTCCTTCAAAATGGGCATCTCTTGATCTGAATGCTTAGTTCTCTACAACATCTGAACATGCCATCTCCTGCACAAAGGCAGTAAGCATGCTGGTCTCACATCCATCTCCAGGGGTACTTAAAAGACAGTACCTAAAAGGGAGTTCAGCCCTCTTGTTCAGGCAGGTGCCCATGCCTGCTGCTAGGAGTTGGTACTATCCAGTTGCCAGACTGATTACCTGTTCTCCTCTGGGTCTGACCCACACTCCACCTTGCTTGGCTTCTGTTCCATTCACTTCAATTCCATCCAGGATGCCCTCCAGCACGCCAAGAGACTGGGGTGGGCACACTGGCCCCCCCGGCACACCCACAGGCCACCCACCCCCCACCACCCAGGCCCTAGGGCACAGCACCCATGGTACCCGCCTCAGCACTTGGCCTTTCACACCATGCCCTGCACCCCAAGGGGGGCGGGCGGTGGGAGGGGCCAGGGAGTGGCAGATAGGAGAGCTGGAGGGCAAGCTGGGACTGCGGAGGTTCCTGGGCTAGGGGCTAGAAGAGTAGCTTTGAAGTCTTGCTCTGTCCAAAGATCCCTGTGGAGAAAAGAGAGAGACAGGGGTGAGAAGGCACCATGGGAGGGGGTGGGTCACATTTGAGACTCCTGGGGCCCATAACAAGATGGCAGTGGGCATGGAGGACGGGTATAGGGAGAGGACTAGAATAACCTTATATCACAGGTATATATAGCAGGCAAGACTGGAGAACCACATCCCAAGCCCCGGACACTGTGAGGAATGGAGGGGAAGAATGAGGTCATCCATGGAGCAGGTAACAAGTCTCAATAGTCACATTCAAACAAATGCCTGCCTCTTAATGAATGTCTATTAAATGTTAACTATTTTACAACTGTGTAAGTTTTCTTAAGATTCCTCAGTAATATAGGAGCAAGAGGTGATCAGAGATGAGCAGTTTCCAGCATAGGCATGGGAGTACCCATGAAGATGTGGGGAGGGGGCAAGGGCAGCACATAAGGATTATGAACGCCCATGATATTGTCTTAATGAAGAGACACGCTAAAAGTGTGTCTCCTTTGCTGCCAGCCCAGTAATGATTCCCAACTCCTGCCCCTCAGTAATTCCAGAGCCTCCTATACAAGGTCCCAAATCCCACTATCCAGTTGAAGAACCAGATTTAGTTGGTTTAGCAAAGTTGCCACCCACTACCATGGCAAGGGGAAAGGAAACTAACACCTGTTGACCAAATAGATATTAATGTGCCTTCCAAAGCGAGCAGATAAGGAAACAGTCTCAGAAAGCTTGCTCATTCACTTAAGTTCACACAGCTAGGAAGCAGGTGGCTCAGGAAGTACAACCTTATAGCCTAGTCCTAATGCTAACCTTGATCTGCTACCTGGAGCTAGGGCAGTACCAGCCTGGGCCCACCATTTCTCTGTGCTGTGCCTATGGGCCTGGATTGTAGACCTGTAGTATACTGTCAGGGACACAGGCAGGTGCAGGCGGATGGGAGGGGGACAAAGGGTGCAGCTCTGTACATACACCCTCTATCACGTGACTACTGTACCAGAGAGCTCACCCTGGGCCCCCCAGCCCCACCCCCAGAAGCTGATAAGGAGCCAGAGTGAGAGGAGGGGGCAGAGATAAGGCAGGGCATTGGGCAGGGCCAGGCCACAGGACAGGGCCTCTGCACTCAGGCAAGCCCCTGGGTGGGGAGAATGGAGGAGCACAGAAAGATGGCCCATTCTGTCTCTGACACCCTCCAGGCCTGGACTGGGCACTGGGGGTTGGACAGGAGACTGGGTGGGGGGACAAATGGGGCGCCTTAGCCCAGGGAGCCATCAAGAAAGTAGGTCAAGTTTTTCTTGGCTTGTGGAGAAATTCCTGTTATAAATTTATAATGGCGTAGCCAGCCCTAAGGGGTGGAGGTGGGGAGGAGAAAGAGTGGGTGGGGATGCCCAGGGCTGGGCACTGGGGCCGCTGCTTTCAGAGGCAGGGGCAATGGGTCCTGTGGGGGTGGGCTGGACAATAGGGACTATTCTGTTCCCCCTTCTATCTGTGCCTAGTGAGGCTTCATTTGGTCTATCTGTCTGCGTCTGAATGTCTCTCTCTCTCTCTCTCTCTCTCTCTCTCTGGGTCTGGGTGTCTCCTTGTCTCCCCCCAAGGCTGTGCCCCAGGAATGGGCATACTGAGAGAGGGGCAGCCCTGGGGAGCAGGCCCTGGGGGGGCACGCAAAGAGGGCCAGTGCATGGAGGAATGGTATTAACAGCTACCAGGCTGGGCAGAGAACCCCAGCAGCAGCCAATGGCATGGGCAGCTCCTGCCCCAGGCCATGGCTCTGGAGGACCACCCTCTCTCTCTCTCTCTCTCTCTCACACACACACACACACACACACACACACACACCCAAAACCACTACCAGTTGCTACAGGGCAGACCTGGGGTAGTGCCAACCTAAGCCACCCTGTTTATTTCCCCTTCCCCCTTCCCGGTCCAGCCTTAACTCCAAATGCGTCTGGGTACTGCCAAGGGCTTGCATGTGCCCACTGGGGGAGGGGCAGGGTCCTTCTCTGCCCTACCTCTGTGCTGAGCTGAATGTGCCCTGGTGCCAGTCAGTGCAGCCCAGGCTATGGTTAGCCCCTGGCAGTGGGCAGAGGACCAAGGTGCTGCCCTCACTGCCTAGGGCACTCTTGCCTGGCACATAGCAAGAGTCTAGAACCCCGGGGACTCCTTGAAGTCTCTCCAGGGATGTACCTGGGCTTCTGAGGCAACACAGAGCCCAGGCAGAGGGCCCAGCATGCAGGGAGACACAAACCATGTGAGTCTGTGTTAGCTGCAGGAAAAAGAAAAAGGTCATTAGGGTAAGGGGATAGATCAGGCATACCCACCCTGAAGGGCAGCCTCTCTCCCTTCTTCTAGGAGTCCAGCTTAATATTCTGAAACTTCTCCCTGACACATCCCTTGCAGAGGTGGAGGCTCAACCCCAAGGGGGCAGAGGAGGTGGAGCTATGGGGCTCTGAGACTCAGCTGGACAGCAGGACCCACCTGTTGGCTGGCCTGCCACCCACTCTCTCTTTATCAGATAAGAGCTGCTGGGTGGGACGTGGGCAAGGTGCCTACAGAGGGGGAAGAATTTCATTAAGCTTAAGTGCTTCTGCAATGGGGGACAAGGATGAGAAGCCAATGTAGCATCCATGGGCACTATGCCAGGTTCCCACTGCTGTCTGTCCCCACCCTGAAATCCTGTTGATCCAAGGGACACCCCCAAAGGCCTTCTGAGGCTGCCAGCAGGGATTCTGCCCCCAGAACTAGCCCCAAACACTACACTCTCCTGAGTGTCTGTGATTGGCTTTGGCCCCACCTTTCTGAAGGGGCCCCTGAACTTTGCCCTTAATGCTCTGAAGAAAGCGGGGGTGGGGGGGGAGAGAAGGAGAGGGGGCAGGAAGGACTAAGAAAAAGGGAGAAAGAGGAGGAAGAGACAGGCAAAAGAAGGGATAGGGAAAGAGGAAGATGGGAAGAACAAAGAGATGGGGCAGAGATGGTGGTAGCTAGATAGCTAGGCTTGTCAAGGAAATAGAAAGAAAGGAAGAAAGGACAGCAATGAGGAGGGTGAGAGAGAAGGCATGAGATAGGAAAGAGGACAGGTAATAAGAGAAGAGAGACCAATGAAGGAGGGGAGACAAAGGGAGAAAGGTAACAAAGAAAGATGAGTTGGGGGTGCTTTTCCCCCTGCCTAAGTCCCACCCATGGCGGCTGGGGGAGGGGGGAGTAGGAATGGTTTCCAAGGTGACAGCTGGTTCTTGGTGGCCTGGCATGTGGGCTATTAATAGTGCTGTGGGTAGGTTCACACCTCCCTCTCCCCTTCCCCTCTGCCTGCTGCTAGGGTGGGGGGAAATCTCTCTCCCCATCCCCCACTTCCAATCATCTAGCATCGATGCCGACTCCATACCACTGACTCCACACCACAGAGCCAAGAAAGGTGATGTGGAGGAGCCAGGGCAGCCACATAACCCAAACACACACGGGCATGCACAGGCAAACCGGCATCTGTGTGCAGACGTGTCTGGGTGCCAACGTGTGCTCCCATGGGCAGCCACCAACTCAACAGTCACTGGGAGTTTGTGGCCATAAAGAAGCTACCACATTAATACATGCTCATGTTGAGGGGTAGATTCCTCCCTTGGGGTGAGACTTCCTCCTTCCCCAGAATACGCCCCCCCCACACACACACACACATACACACGCTAGTTCTATTCTCAGGTATGGATTGGGGCAGGGCTGCCCCACCCAATCTCAGCTATCCTAGTGCCAGGAAAGAGAGAGTGAAGGCGGGAAGGCAGGCACTATTTGGCAGGTGTGATGTGGCCAAGGAGTACACACAGACTTGGGCACAGCTTGGCAGGCACTGGGGGTGGGGAGGGAGGCAGCACCCCTTGGTAGACTCTTGTTAAGCCCCCAGGAGATGGATTTTGGAGTTTAAGAGCAGTGACCCAGAAGGTGGATCTCCTAGCTGCTGTGAGCCCTTAGAGGCTAGAGACTAGATGGGGGTGCAGGATATACATAAGGGGGAGACTGGTTACTTAAACAAAGGTTCCTCCCTACCCCCCCAAAGAATACAACAGGAAACTTCCCCCTGTAGGTCAGAGACAGAAAGACATAAACAGCAGCCCTGTCTTGGGCCAGATGCCCAGGACTGACATCAAAGACTGGCTTCCCACCCCACTCCCCCATAACCTCAGCCACCTACTTCTCCTCTCTCCCCTGTCCTCTAGTCCAGGGCAGCTCTATCAGGCATCAAGGTGGGCATCCAGGTCTAGGGGTCACTTCCCTGTTCATGTCCACCCTCCACATCCACTGATGGCTGGCTGTACCAACCCCTATGCTCATGACCTCACCTTCCTCACCAGCCCACAAAACTTCAGGCCCCCGCCCCAATTCTCCTCAGGAATGGAGATGGGAGATCCAAGTGGCCAAGAAGTAAGAATTAGGAGCACCCCCAAGCTGGGCATGGCACATTCTCCCCACCCTCCCCCAGCAGTCAGCAGGTAATTGGAGATGGGAGCTGGGGCAGCTGAATGCTTGGAGGCATGAATGTCACGGAGCCAAGGAACTTGCTGCTGATGGTATCATGGGTACAAGGCTTGGGGTACTCCCTCTGCACTCCCCTCATCTAAGGCAGGAGAAGTCTTCTGCCAGCTTTGGGGAACATCACCTTAGGAAGGTGGGGAACGGTGGAGGGGAAAAGAAAGGCAGGGAAATTCTCTCAGGCACCCCAGGGAGGCAGGGCTAGCCCCCACCCAGGCAGAACTGGCAGAGACAGAGGGAGGGAGAGGGAAAGGAGAGGCAGAGGTGGAGAGAGGGAGGGAATAGGAAAGGAGGGAGAGAGGGGAAGGGGGGAGAAAAACTGAGAAGTGTGTGTGTGTGTGTGTGGTGTGTGTGTGTGTGTGTGTGTGGTGGGTGGGAAAGGCAGCAGAGAGTGAGAAGGGTCTAAGAGAGGGGGGAGAGGGGCAGAGAGGGAGAGGAGAGAGAGAGGGGGGGGAGAGAGAGAGAGAGAGAGAGAGAGAGAGAGAGAGGAGAGAGAGGAGAGAGAGGAGAGAGAAACACGCAAGAGAGCACAAGCAAATGCAGCTGAGTCTCCGGCACACACACGGACACGTGCAGCCACACACACTCACCCCGCATGCGCAAAGCTGCAGGGTTTTGAAACCACATGTGCCCTACTGCACCCTAGAATCCTCAAAGAGAGACTAAGAACTCTCTTGTTCCCGGCAGCATGTGGGTCCCCAGCCTGGTGTGTGCCAGCCTTAGGAGGAGAAGAGAATCTATAAGCACTGTTTACCATGCCAGGCAGCAACATGGATTAAACATGGTATCATCCTGCCTTATATGTTTTTTTGTTTTTGAGGTGATGTGGATCAAACTCAGAACCTTACATATGCTGGGCAAGCACTCTACCACTGAGCTACACCCCTAGCCTCAACCACCTTTGTTCTCTATCCTCACCCTGAGTGAAAGAGATATCATTGTTTCTAGATAATAAAAACCCAGACTCAAAACCATACAACTGGTGAATGGCAAAACCCAGCCCCCCAACTCCCAGTGTTCTTTCTACACAGTAACACCTGCCTCAAGAGGCATCCATGTTCTCCAAGCACCTCTGCAGCCATGAGAACTGAAATTGGAATTACATCCACTCCAGAAATTCCCAGTCACCCCACCAAGAGGCATCCTCCATTGTTCTTGCTTCATCTTGAAGGGCAGGGGCTGAATAAAAAGGGTTTGGGGGAGATGGGATCCTGATCATCAGATTCGCAGAGAGAAAGAGGCAGCCGAGGACAGACCCAGGATCTTCAGGTGCCATGCCCACCAGGCTGATCCTTTCCCAGTGTCTCAGTTTCTCTCTGCCACCACCCTTCACAGTAATCCCTGCTCTGTACAAGGGAGGGGAATCTGGCATCTGTCAGACAGGCCCAGGTCCTGGTTTATGAATGATAGGTAGCTGGGATGCTAGGCCCCCAGGAGAGAGGAAGGGTGCCGGAAAGGGTCTGGAGAGAAGGGACTGATTTCCTTGTTATTTCTCTCCTACTGTCAGTGCTCTATCCCAAGAGAGATGCAGTGATGCCCGGACATTCATGCATGTGCCCCTCGCTGGGGAGGTGTGTCTCAGGATGAGATGTGAAGGGCTCCTTTTAAGCTCAAATGATGGTAGTCAGAGGAGCCTGCTGTGGGCTCTTTTCCATACATTGATTCCAGTTTGCAAAAATGAGTGGGAAAGAGAAAGGTGGCTGGAGATTGGAGACCCACTGTCCCCCCACCCAGTCCCATTCCCATTCCTTTGATGTTTAGGAGACCCAGTTCTCTACCTAATTTCTCTAAGAGGTTCAGGAGCCCTGAAACTTCCATGTTTCTTCACCTACCATAATAGCTAACACATACAGCTTAGTATGAACTAGGCTTTCTTTTGGGGGGGGGGTGGCACTGGGGTTTAAATTCAGGGCCTCACACTTGCTAGGCAGGCAAGTTTATCGCGTGAGCCACTCCACCAGCCCTCTTTTGTGATTTTTTTTTTTTTTTTGAGATAGGGTCTCCCAAACTATTTGCCCAGGTTGTCTTTGAATGGCAAGCCTCCTGATCTCTGCTTTCTGTGTAGTTAGGATTACAGGCATGAGCCACCATCGCCCAGCAAACTAGGCAATTTTTAAGGCACTGTATATTTTAATACCTCTAAACGTCAAAGCTAAATGAGGTAGATATTAATATCCCCAGTTTATAGATAAGGCAAGAGGGAAGTTAAGTCTTGTCAAGGTCACATAACCAACAGGAGTCCAGCCCCCAAAAAAACCTCTGCTCTTAACCATAATAGCATATGATCTGCTAGAGAAACAATAGATACCTTGTTCTTTCATCTGGTTACGTGTGAGAAGCCTCGGTTTTCCCTTCTGCAGCAGCCCTTGGATGCTCTAGGCATTACCAGTGCCTCCTCATCCAAGTAGGTCAAGACTTAGAGGAAACCTGGCCAGAAATGACTAGTGCCCCTTGGGCTTTAGGTCTCCTGCCCCAGTGGCCCCTGCTCAAATGCCCTTTCTGAAAGTGTTGCCCTTTCTGCTCTCACTTGTGGGTGAGAGCGTCTCTCTCAACCTGATGAATAGCCTGAGCAGCTGTACCCTCAGAATCCAGGCCTGAGACTGGGCAAGGAGGACACAGCTGTTGGGCATCTCTGAGGTGGGTCTCAGCTGCCAGGGGTGTGGAGAAAGGCCATTATGAGTCCTGGTGTGGACCCAGCTCAGCTGGGTCTTACCAACTCTTGCCACTGCCCAACAGGGCCATGCTTTTCCTGCTTGGGATAGTGTTGGGCGGGGGCAGGGGGAGCTGCAGCTTACACACCAATGGCTCCTACAGAACTGGTGTCCCCTGGCTGGGCCTGCCAGCTTGAAGGCTCAGTATGGGGAGTAGCTGAACCCCTGGTCTTCTCCCATTCCAGCTCCCAAAACTTGCTAGCCAGTCGCAGCTGTAGCACTAAGGAAGTGAGCAGGATGTCCTGAGTAGCTAGCCGAGCCCCCCACCCCCCATCCCAACCTCCCGCTGACCCCAGAGGCCGGGGCAGGCGGGGCAGAGGGCCTGAGTTTGAGCATTAACAACTGGAAAAGTATGAAGAACATTACTGCCAGTTCCCAGCCTTGAGAAAAGAGGCTGTGGCAGAAACGGAGACAAGGGCGGTGTGAGAGAGAATTACAGACTGGAAGAGAAACAAGGAGAGAGAAGAAGAATCAGACATCCTAAGACAGAGCAACAAAAAGAGAGACAAAGTCAGAGAGAAATTCCAAGTCAAAAATACACATCACTCACACAAACACTTGCCAGCATACAGCCTCCTAAGGAAAGCTTCCAAGTTTGGACAGGAGGGCTGAGGTGAGAAAAGGGGCGGACTTATGGTGGGAGACAGGCACTCAGTTGGGGGCCAATGAAGGTCCCCAGAAAAGACCCAGGCAAATGTCTCGTGTCAGGAACAGCCAAGTCCTCACTGGCTTTTAGGGTAGGAACAAGAGAGTTGTTCTCTGGAGCCAGTTCTTCCCTCCCCCAGCAGCCAGGACAATCCCAGCTGCTAGAAGCCACTGGTCACAGTTTAAGGCCCGTGATTCGGTCCTCTGGAACCCCCCTGCAACCACTTTGCTCTTGTTTCTCTGTCTCTCCAAAAGGAAAAAACCCCAGTCCACTGGCACACAGTGATTGAGCCTAGAGGAAGAAGACAGAAAAACGCTGAAGGCAAGATTCTTTAATTGTGTGTATCTAGGTGTATGCTTGACTGCCACAGGTGCAATGTATGCATCCTGGGTTGTCCAGACACTGCAGGGTGGACCTGTGACTGTGTGGACTTGAGCCTTCTGCATAAGTCCTGCACCCAAGTCCATGGGACTGTGCACAAATGAGTGCACCTGTGTCTGGAGTTCACACAGTCAATCAATTAACAAGTGTTTACAGAGCACACCCTGTACTAGGCTCTGGGTGGGATCCAGAGCTCTTCTAGTGACTCCCAGGTTTCAACGTGCTTGCCATCTACTAACTGGGTGGTACAAGAGACAGTGACTGAAAATGTGTTATCAGAAATGCATGCTTTGCACCATTATGCAGGAGAGTGTTTTCATACAGATGAATTTTATTGTCTTGAAAGAAGAGGTTTTATTGTTTACAGAACCCCAGAGCTCCACAGTAAGAGTCCAGGAAAATACTTGTTGCTAAGTTGTATACACATGTATTGAGGTATAGCTGCGCTTGTGTTTGACTGAGTGACAGTGACTGTTACAACGGCAATGAGGACTGTGTGACTGGGCACATGTGAGCACGTGTGCGCCTGTGACAGGGTCTTTTATAATTGTGTGGCTATGTGCAATTGCTCTGTGTGCATGCACACATGCATGTGATAGTGACTTTCTCCGTGTGGGAGACAGTGACTCCTCCTTGCCTCTGTGTGTGACAGCATCTCCGTGTGACCCCGTGCCTGGGTATGTGCATAGGTCAGTCTCCCTGCTTGTGGTCCCTCGTGGGTGTGTCCTGCCCCTCAGAGCTCCACTGTGCAGCTCAGCCTGCCTCTTCCCTTGTCCTCATGTAGGTGTGTCCAGCAGTTCCTGTCCTTGAGTCCGCCTGGGTGTCCCTTGGTGTGCTTGTGGCTGTGTGGGCATATCTGTGTCTGCATGTCACCTTTGCTCCCCCCTCCCATTTGGACAACAGCCCCCTTCATTCCCTCCCCCTCCTGGGGCCAGAGCCAGCACTGAGAAGCAGGCTTCCATCTCACTGGCTTTCCTTCTGTTGCACACCCCCCAACCCCCATCCCAGGAATGGGTGGCTCTCTCAATTGCTTTTGACATCTTCCCAGGCCTTCCTTTCACACTGGCCAAGGGAGGGCCATAGACAGAGAAGGGGCACCAAAGACACGTTGCAAAGTCGGGGGCGGGGGGGGGGGGGGGGGTTGTATCGCGCAAGTATAACACAGGTCGTTCCTTCCTCTCTTCTCCAACCATGCCAGCCAGCAACTCTCCTAATCATTTTGGGACCATCAAGCACACCCCCACCATTACACACACACTCACACACATTTTGGGACCATCAAGCACACCCCCACCATTATACACACACACACACACACACACACACACACTAATCATTTTGGGACCATCAAGCACACCCCCACCATTACACACACACACACACGCGCGCACACACACACACTAATCATTTTGGGACCATCAAGCACACCCCCACCATTACACACACACACACACACACACGCGCACACACACACACACTAATCATTTTGGGACCATCAAGCACACCCCCACCATTACACACACACACACACACACACACACACACTCACTCACTCCCCCTACTCCACCCCACCAGCCGCGTTTTTGCAATTATGAGTGTTGCAACCAGACAGCCATGCTCAATTGGGGAGGCGGGTTGGGGGGTACTTCTCTCTCCCCGGGCGCAAGCAAGCCCCCCACCGCCCACCGCCCCTAGACTGCCCTCCGCAGCTGGAGGCAGATTTGCAAAGGCCACTGGGTCTCTGAGGCAGGGGTGGGGGTTGGGGGGGCAGGCCTCCGGCGCACCGTAAACAAACCGCGGCGCGGCGGGCGGGGGAGCTCCGGCAGCGGGGCCCGGCCCGGGAATGCGCCGCAGACCCGCCGGACAGAGGCCGGGCGGGCCCTCCAAGGGGAGGCCCAGACGCCATCTCCGCCGGCAAACCCGGAGGCCCACCGACCTCCCAGCAGCACCTCCCTTTCCTAGGGTGTAAGTTGCAAGCTCCAGGGCTATGACAGGGTTACCGGGCCGCCGGGAAAGGCTGAATTTGGCAGCGGGAAGCCCCCCGGGAACCCCCAGCCCGCCTGCGAGCAGGTTACAGAGACCCGCGGCTTTGCATAATCAATCACGATGCATTTGCATATTAATGCCCCCTCACTCCCTCCTCCTTACCTCGGCGTGGCGCGCTAGACCTGGCTGGGCAGCAACACTGGGGTCTCAGCGCCCCGGGTCGGGGGCGTCCATGGGGGGCCAGTGGGGCCCGGGCCGCCCGCCTCCAGCGCCCGGGTGTGAGTGCGAGTGAGCGCGGGGGGGCGGGGGGCGAGTGTGGCGGCCCCGCGGCTCCTCCGGCAGAGGCGGCGGCCGCTCTGGCTCCTCCCTCCCCCGCCCCGCTCCGGCTGGGGCTTCGGGCTCGGCGCGCCCGGCCGGCTCGCGGCTGCTCCCTGCAGGCCGTCTTGCAGCCGCCGGCCCCCGCCTCCCGCCGCGCCCCGGGACCCCGGCCAGCGGCTCGCTGCCCCTCGGCCGCCCTGGTCTCCTGCCCCGCTCGGACTCGCCCTCCACACTCCAGGAGGCAGGAGTGGTATTTGGTGACACATTTTGGAAAAGATGTCATTTGAAAATTAGCTTTTGCTCGCTGGGAGAACTAGGAGTTTTCGGGTTTGCACCCTGGGATAGGGAAGGAAGTATCGAGGAGCAGTCTGCACCTTATAAATCGGGGAGAAAGTCCAAATACCAAACGCTTGGAGGTGTAGAGTTTGTTTTGGAGTTAGGGTCCCTTCTTTCTCAGTAACTCCCTGTGTGACCTTGAACAAATCACCACCACTGCCGACGGTAGAGCTTTCTGCAGCTTAAAATGCTAGGGTTGAGCAGGTGACTTCTGAGGTCCTCTTAACTTCAAACCTCCTGTTTTTAATCCTCTTGGGGGCTCATTCCACATCACTCCCTCCGCTCTCATTTCTAACAATACCAGATCCACTGCTCCCCCTTTCAAACGTTCCCCTTCTCCATAGAGCCTTTTCTATTTACTGCCACCACCCATTCCCCAACAATCTGCTCCCCCTGCTGAGCTTGGGGAGGGGGCAGTAGGACTGGCTGTAGCCCCTCATCTCCCAGCTTCTCTGAGATGGTATTTCCTCTCATGTTTGCCCCATTAAAATCCAAAGGATACCAGGACCAAGCCTAAGGAGGGTGGCTGCATACAAATGAATCTCCTTTTCTCTAAAGGAGAGGTCAGCCCTAGGCCCCTGCACACGCACGTGTGGCGCGAGCGCGCAAACACACACACACACACACACACACACACACACACACACACACCTGCGTTCATGGACATAAAACCATGCCAGTGACGCCAGAGCCCCTTTCATCTCAGGATCTCCTAGCGCCAGGCAGAGGTCTAATTACCCTAGCACCCCCCTCTGGCCCCGCCGGTTCCCCCGCTGTCATTAGCCCAGTTTTACCAGCGGGGGCCATAGCCTTCCCACGCTCGCAGGGCGGAGCCCAGCCTCCACAGCCTGCTCTTGGGGAGGAGTGTGTGTCAGGGGGAGCTGCTCTGCTAATCGCCCAGTTTATACTGGGCAGCATCATTTTGCTGAGTGGGATGCTGACCAACAACCTAAGTTAGGCTACCCTTGATCATTTTAGTCTCATCGTCTGCGTCCTCAACTCCCATATAGCCACTTCTCTTACAGGGCGTGTGAAGGGTTTGCAATGCATGGGGGATGGGGTGTGTCTCTCTCTTGGTCCTTGGGACCACAGGGATGAGAAAGGCAGCTGAGATGTAACCCATGGAGTGCAGAGTGAAGTGATAGTGATGGAAGACATGCAATGGGTGAAGGAAGCTTGCAGTGTGCAGTGGTAGCTGCAGGGGGAATTGAGGCTGCAGTATGCAGAGTCAGCATGCAGTAAGTGAACCTGTGTTCAGTCCGCGCTCGCAGTAGACATGCAACAGCTGCAATGTGGGGCAGGAGGCTGCAGCCTACAGTCAGTACAGTATGTAGTGGGAGGTGCACTGAGGGCTGGCTGGCTGCCGGTTGATACCACCTCATCAGTGATCAGGTAGTGTTCATGCTCTACCCTGTATGGAAATAGTTCCTTGTGCCTAAGGAGCTGGGAGATAATTCCAGTGCATGAGGTATACAGAATTATTCTGCCCCTTGATCAGACAGAACTAGGAGGCAATGGAGAGTTCAGGGAAGGCTCATGAAATCTAGAGGAGAAGATGAAGGTTTTGTCTATCCTCCATGCTTTTTTTTTGAGATAGAGTCATGCTATGTAGCCCAGGCTACTTCAAACTCAAGGTCCTCCTGCCCCTGCCTACTGAGTGCTGAGTGCTGGGATTAAAATTGTGTGTTACCACACTCAGCCATGCTGTCTTTCTCCACCACATCTGTCTTTGATGCTAGGCCCTAAAGGGGGTGGGGGAGATGTTCTGAAACCCTAGACACTCCCTAAAAGTGAAATCCTAGAAAAAGAAGGTTCTCCCCGTCAACTTTCCCCTACTACCTGCCAGGGGTGGAGTAGAACACCTTGAGCTCAAAGACGAGGGTTCACCATTCCCATCTTTTCCTTACCTCTCCCTCTTCCTGGGTTCCCAATATGGGTTGGTGACAGACCTGGGCAAGGGCAAAGGGAAGGTCATGTTGTCTTCACAGCAGGCATCTCATCAGATGCCAGGATCTGGCCAGGGTCTGGGCTTATACCCTGTCCCTATGTTGTATCATCCCTCTTCCCACGTGCTCACCCTGACCTTTTTGCTGAAGGTTTGGGCTCTTCTAAGATTCAGTTCATCCCTAGCTCCTGTTTTCCTCCTTGCCATGAAACCCCCTTCCTAGGTTTTCTCCTCCTATCCCCCCACCACCTCTGCTTCAGGGCCTACCCTTCACTTATGCAGAAAACTGGAAGGCATGTGAATGAGATGGTTAGAGACCCTCCCAGGGGCACTGCCTGCCAGCCCCCTTCCCTCCAGCTTGAATTTTGGTTGCCAAGGAAGCAGCAGGCACAGTCTGTTCTCTGGGCTCCAGAGAGCAGCCAGGCCCAGGCCCCTCCTTCCTTCTTTTCCCTCCCTTCCTCCCAGTCTGTTGCTAGGTAGCACCCTAAGATTTCTTGAGGGTCATATCCCTAAGAACCAGGTATTTACCTCACCTCTGTTTTTTTCTTTTATTTTGGCTGTACTGGGGTTTGAACTCAGGGCCTTGTGCTTGCTAAGCAGGCACTCTACCATTTAAGCCATGTCCCCAGTCCTCTAGGAACCAGGGAATCCAGCTCTTTCTGAAGAGCCTTCCCCCAAAGCCTGGCAGTGAAGACCCCACACAGCATCCTCCACCTCTGCTAGAAAGCCTTGTACATCCCTAACAGTTTGGAGAAACAGGGGATCAGCCCTTCTGCCATGCAGTTTCTATTGCCAGTGCCTTAGTAATACCTCTCCCAATCTCATCTGTATTTAGTTGTTAATTTGTTGCTGACGGTCAAACCTAGAGCCTTGCACACACTAAGAATGCACTCTACCACTGAGCCACATCTCCAGCCCTCCATCTCATCTTGACCTCCTGGGCTTTGGGTGATGTCAGCAAGTGATGAGGTGTCCAGCAAACACTCTTTGGCTCTGTAGACACAGTCCCACTTATTGGAGGTGCTCTGGAAAGGGCAGAAGAAACTGAGGTACCACTAGCTAAGATAACCTAAAACCTAAATGTTTCTCTCCCTTAGTGATTTTCTAATTAAGAAGTGATGCAACAGGGCACCAATGGCTCACCTTGTAATCCAAGCAACTCAGTAGGCAGAGATCAGGAGGATCATGGTTCAAAGCCAGCCCAGGCAAATAGTTCATGAGACCCTATCTCAAAAACACCCATCATACACACAAAAGAAAGGGCTGGTGGAATAGCTCACGGTGAAGGCTCTGAGTTCAAGCCCCAGTACCACACACACACACACACACACACACACACACAAAAGTAGTGATGGAGCCTAGTGGAGTGGCTCAAGTGGTAGAGCACCTGTCAGGCAAGCATGAGCCCCCAAGTTCAAACCCTAGTACTACCCCCCCACCCCCCAAAAAAGTGATGGAAATGTAGAGAAGAAAGTTAGGAGGGCAGTATATGATCACTGGGGATCAAGTGGCTGGCAGAGATGAAAAACTGAGCAACTAGCAACCAATTACTCTGATAAGAGTGAAGTGGCCACTTAATTCTCTACTATAAGTCATCTTTGTTCTATCAGGTATCCTAGGTATGGATCATCAAAGAGGGAGCCAGGGAAGGGACCAGGCCTTCATTATAATTGGAAGGCAAGAAGTGGAAAATTAACTGACACATTCTTCAGACTGTCTTTCAGTGTTTCTCCTACCTTTATTCATTCATGTTTTTGAGTATTTAATATGTACCAGGCATTGAATCCTCCAAATGTTCCCACCTTCTGTTTTCCCATAGAGCCTGTTCATCCTGCCTTTGTTTTTTTTTTTGGTGGCACTGGGGTTTGAACTCAGGGATTTACACTTGCTAGGTCATCCTGCCTTTGCAGCAGGAGAAAGGAGAAGAGGGTGAGGGACATTCTTCTTTACTCTGAGTTTGGTGCTTACCATCCTTCAGCCTTCCCCTCTCCAACTAGAGGAGAGAATGGGACAGTTGGTGTGGAGGTCAAGGGTATAAAGTAGGATGACTCCCGGGCCTGGAGAAGGGATGGCACAAAGGAAATGGCAGGCTGGTCTGTCTTCCCTGCCACTGTTGGGCCTCAGGATCACAGAAACTCTCTTCCCCTCTTCATCTGTTGGAAAAGGAAGGCATTCTTCAGGGTGTTAGACAGGAAACTACTCTGAGGATTGGTTCCTGTTCTGCCTTGCAAGCTGGGCATGGTGGTGAATGCAAGATCTTGGCTGAGACAAGAGGATCTTGAGTTCAAGGCCACCCTGAGCTACGTAGGAAGACCCTATCTTAAAAAAATCAAAATCAATGAACAAAAATAAAACCTGCCAGGTGCCGGTGGCTCATGCCTGTAATCCTAGATACTCAGGAGGCAGAGATCAGGAGGATTGGGGTTTGAAGCCAGCCTGAGGCAAATAGTTCATGAGACCCTATCTCAAAAAAACCCTTCATAAAAAAGGGCTGGTGGAATGGCTCCAAGTGTAGGCCCTGAGTTCAAACACATGTACTGCAAAAAAAAAAAGAAAAAAAATACTACCTTTCATTCTCCTGAAGCAGTATTGGAAGACAGAGACAGGGTGGTGGGCATCCAGGTCCTGTCCCAGGAGTGTACCCAACCCATGGGCCTCTTTACTAGTATTTCCCCTCCCAGGTAAATAGAAAGCAGGGATTTTGATTAGGGGACTAGAATGAGGAGGAAACTGGTTTGAACTCACTCTGTATGCTCTTTTCCCATCCATCTGCTGCTCATAGTGGGGAGACCCAGGCAAGCTTCCAGAAGAAAATATTCCTCTTAGGGAAGGGGAATGACTCAGTTACCCTCTGGAGAGAAGGGAAGCTGAAATGCTGTATGCTTACCAATGATTTCAGTGTTTCTGGGTTTTTGGGTCTGAACTCCTGACACTTTTCCTTATATATTCTTTACTAGCCTAGATAGAGAATGTGTTCCCCTTCCCCTTGGGTATCCTAAACCCTGTTTTGGTTTTTTTCTCCTCTCTCTCTCTTTTGGCAGATTGGGGTTTGAACTCAGGGGTAGGCAGGTGTTCTACCACTTGAGCCACTAGTCCTTTTTGGTGTTGGGTATTTTTTGAGATAGGGTTTCACTTTTTTTGGTCCAGACTGGCTTCAAACTGTGTTCCTCCTGATCTCTGCCTCCCAAGTAGCTAGGATTACAAGGTGTGAACCACTGGTGCCTGGTTCTAAACCCAAGCCTTTTTTTTTTTTTTTTGCCAGTTCTCCAGATGTTTCCATGTTACTCTGCCCAGTTGGCTTCCACCTGTCCCTCTTTTCCAGCTAGACCCCATTCCCCAGTGAGACCAGCCAACAAAAATTAATGGGATAAAGGAGAAGATGGTAGGAGACATTCTTTTTTACCATCAGAGTTTGGGGCTTACCATCCTGGAGCCTTTCCTCTCCAGTTAGAGGAGAGAATGGGACAGTTGATGTGAAGGTCAAGGGTATAAAGTACAATGACTATCAAAATGAAGATGTTACTGAGCATGGTGGTTCACATCTGTAATCCCAGCACTTGAGAAGTTGAGGCAGGAGGATCAAGACCAGGCTGGGCTACATAGTGAGACCCTGTCTTAAACAAAACAAAAGATGTTGGAGCTGCATTCTAGGAAACAGAGGTGGAAGTCCAGCTTCTAGACAACAGCCAAGGACAGTGGAGTAAGTAGGAAGATGCTCTGAGAGGGGCCGGGGGCATTTCCTTATATGCCCAAAGGGGACCTCAGCATCTCTTCTCACATCCTCTGGAGGATTATCATGGAATCTTATCCATGCAATGGGCAAGCCAGAGAACTTAACCAAGAAGTCATTGTGGTGTGGAGGGAGGAGGTAGTATTGGGAGAGGACGTGTCTCTGATATTTACAGACTAGAGAGGCAGGAAGGTCAAAGTAGAGAAATTAATGATGGCCATTGCCCAGAGCTAAGGGAGTACTTGTGAAAAGGAGTCCAGTCCTAGGGGAAACCCTGCCATTCCTTGAGAAAGGACTGTTGGGAGGTGGCAGGGAAGGCAGATGGCTTGATCATAGAAACTCACTCTCCATCACTATAGAAGAGGCACCCCCTAGAAATCTGCCAGACTTCCTGCCAGAGGAAATGGTTTGAGTACAGCGCAGCACCATCCTCAGGGCTCAACTGTTCCCCCCTTTCATGTGGGCTGGACCCAACACCCACTAACTAGGAGAGGAGTAAGCAGTCACAAAAGTGACAGCTTCTCTTTAAGAGGGGCAGTTTGGGCTATGAAGGATGGGACAAGAGCTGCAGGACCCAGGTACAGCTTGAGGTGGGGGGTCTTAGGCTGCTGTGATAGGAAAGAAATAGGAGGTGGGGAGCAAGCAAAGGTAGAGTGAGGGACTTGGGAGAGGAAGGAAAACCAGCTAACGGAGAGACAACAGGGCAACAGGGCTGTGGCAGTGTCAAGTGTAAGTCTGCGTGGTTTGGGAGCCTGGAGGTTAAGTATGAAGAATTCCTGCTTTGGAAACTTTGGTTGTAAATATTTGACTGCTATTCTGTATAAATACTATTCCCCAGGGGTATCACTTGAGCAGGCCCGAAGGAAACAGAATGGAGGGGGCTGTGAATATGGTGAGGAAGGCCATGGGCAGTACCAACCTTAGAAGGATGTGATCTGTATCTCTTCCAGCCGCACTTTCCCCTTCAGACAGGAATCCTTGACTCTCTGTTTAAACCATGCTTCATGTACCTAGAATCATGTTATTTTATTCCCAAATGGCCACCAGGCCACTTCTGTAGCCCACATGGGTTGCTTTCCCAGATTCATCCTGATTTTCATTTAAAAGGGCATGGTTGCGCAAGGCTGTAGTTTCACCACTTGGTAGGCTGAAGTTTGAGGCCAGCTGGGCGATATAATGAGACCCTGTTCAACACTCCCCCACCACAAAACTTTTTGTGGTTTAGGGATAGTTGTGGGTGATATAGATGGAGCTTGAATTAATGGATCAAGATATCAGGCTCCTTGTGATATAGAGTTAGGAGTAAAAAGAGAGGCAAGCAGGACTCTGGCTGGGGGGGTCTCCATGTTTACTCTTGTCCTCTGTAAATGTTGGGGAATGCACGTTCATACAACAGGGTATGCATGAGGGCTCTGCATAGGGAGACTCAGACGTTGAAGCCACAGGTGGGTAATAGCATTTGGTGTTGGGCTACCCACTGGAGGGAAATAAGGACAATGCCAAAAGCCATGGACATAATAATCTACAATATGGCTCTTAGGGACAAAAGAGATTTTAAGAAATCTCTTATTATTTATTTATTTTTTTGGTACTGGGGATTGACCTCAAGGCTTTGTGCTTGCTAGGCAAGTGCTCTACCACTTGAGCTAGGCTGACAGCATAAAAAGAGTTTTTCAAAAAGAATAAAGTGTGAAAATGTTTTAAATTTATAGGGAAAATTTGGAAGATGATAGAGGGTCCCCACATACTACATGCTCATTTCCCTCTTTTATTAACATCTTAACATTAGTATGGTACATTCACAACCATTAAGAAAGCAATATTTTTTATCAGCTTAAGTCCATATTTTACATAAATTTCCATAGTGTTTTTTTGTTAGTTTGTTTTCTTTGTGTGTGTGTGTGTGTGTGTGTGTATTTTTTGTGTGGTACTGGGGTTTGAACTCAAGACCTCACATTTGCTAGGCAGGTACCTTACCATTTGAGTCACATCTCCAGCCTCAGATTTCCTTAGTTTTTAATCTAATATTTTCCTTCTGTTCCAGAATCTCACACACAATACCACCTTACATTTAGTCATCATGTCTCCCTGGACTCTCCTGCAGAGTTTCTTAGACTTACAACCTTGCTTTGATACCTTAACCTCAATTTCCTATTTAATTCCCCTTGCATGCAACCAGTATGCAGGGTTAGGAGACTCTGGGCCAACAGTCAGAGTTGGGGATGAAGTGGTGATATGTGTGCATCCAATAGGCCACAGTATCACTCCTGGAATACAAGTATGGAAATGAGAAGAACTCTGGGGGCACCAGGGGATTTGGAGACAAAAAAGACAGGGAAAGAACATATTGCTGAATGCCACACCCTACTAACTAGAGGATAACCAAAGGGTGTGGGAGTATGATTGAAGGCTGGGTTGACAGTGACGTCATTGGGCGATGCCTGGTTGCTTCTCTAGACCCTGAGTTTCTGTGATGCCTCAGTTCCTTGGATGTTGTCTCTTAAAGATAGAAACAATGAGGGCCCACTAGATCTATTCCTTAACTTCCTCCTAAAGAACTACAATTCCCAGAACACACTGTGGCGGGACCTGTCTCTTTCCGCATTCCTATTGGTACATGTCTGCTAGACCCAGCCAATAGAAAGTGAGCTCCTTGATACACGCTAAAATGGCGCTGCCTAAGAACTAGAGCTCGATTATCCGGTAGGTTTAAATTTGGGGAGGTGGTGAATGAAAGGAAAGAATTGTAACTTCAGGTATGGGGAAAGTGGAGAAGGTGGGGCAGTACTGGATAAGGAACGCAGCCAGAACAAACGGCGTAATTGGGCAAATGGAACTGGCTTAACTCCTGCCCTCTTTGTATTAGCCTGTTGGACACCCTCCTAGTGTCGCGGTTCAAGGAGGGAATGGTACAGGAGGAAAGAGCCTAACAGAATCTCTACCTGCTCCCTCCGTCCTTTTTTTTTTGTTTAGTTTTTCTGAATTGCTTAAATCTTCCCAAATCTCCAATCTGCCTTCCCAGTTCTTTTCCTAAGAGCCTCATCTCCTCTTCTCTAGCTCCATAGCTCCCACCTTAAAGCTGGCGGCCAGTGGCCTCGCCGCCTCAGAGTGAAATCATGAAGGTGGTGAACCTGAAGCAAGCCATTTTGCAAGCTTGGAAGGAGCGATGGAGTGACTACCAATGGGCAATCAATATGAAGAAATTCTTCCCCAAAGGAGCCACCTGGGACATTCTCAACCTGGCAGGTCTCAAGTGAAATGGGAAGGAAGGATGGGAGGGATAAAACCAGAGAGTTGTAAACACTCAGCCTTGTTCTGTTGTTCCCCTTGCAGAAGCATTGCTGGAGCAGGCCATGATTGGACCTTCCCCCAATCCTCTCATCCTGTCTTACCTGAAGTATGCCATTAGTTCCCAGGTAAACTGCAAGTCTCCTCCCCGCCCAAGGAGTGAGGGTTTTAGAGGTAAAACACTTGGAGTGCAGTTGTTAACACTTTCTAGGTGAATTTGCTTGAACAGATCAGTTCTCTGAGCTTCAGGGTTTTTTTTGTAAAAATAATGCTTCATTTATTGTGATGACTATTACTTGCTCTATTAAAAATATGACTATGCTCTATCCGTAAGTATTTACAAATATTTGCATGTGTCAGACAGTGCTTTCTGGACATAGCTGTGAATTAGACCTGATTTCATTACACAAGGAGTGTAGTGGGTAATGCGGAAGGGAAGTAATTAGTGATGGGGTAGATTTGTAATAATAATTAGGACAGAGTGTGGTTACTATGGGAGGATACATAGGATAGACACCTAATCCATTCTGAGCAATCAGGGAAGGCTTTCTAGAGGAAGTGATGTTTAAACCAAGACCTGAATGTTAAATAGGAGTTAGCCAGGCAGATTGATGAGAGGGTACAAAGCAGAGAGAAAAGTATATGCAAGGGGTAGGAGGCTGAAATCATGAAGTGTTTAAGTACTGAAAATAAGGAGTGAGGGTGTAGCTCAGTGGTGGTAGGGTGTTTGCCTCGCATGCAAGAAGCTGTGGATTCAAAATCCAGCACCACAAAAAAACCTGAAGATAATTTGGTTTGGCTAGAGAGCAGTTTTCAAGACCCCCTTGTACTCTTTTTTTTTTTTTTTCTTTCTTTTTTGATGGATATTGGGCTTTTTTTTTTTTTAACCACTTGAGCCATGCCCCCAGCCCTCCCACTGCACTGTTAAAAATTACTGAGGTTCATACTGAGCTTTTGTTTATGCACATCATACCCATCCATATTTGTTGTCACAGAAATTAAAACTGAGTAATTTAAGGAATATTTATGAATTAATTTAAAAGTAACAAATAACCCATTGTATGTTAACACAGGTAATAATGTAGGGAAAATAACAACATTTGACAAAAAATGTTAGTGAGGGAAATGGCATTGTACTTTTTTGCAAATCTTCATGTCTTGCTTAACAAAAGACAGCTGAGTTCACACAGCTGTTTCTGCAGTTCTGCTTGCTGTAATAGACTGTTTTGCTTGAAGTATATGAAAATCTGGCCTCACACATTAGCTGTTTAATTTGAAAAGGGAGAAATATTTTAATAAGCTCTTCAGATAACTGGATATTCTTTGATACTGTACTAAAGCTTGACAGATAATGTGACATCCTATCAATGGATGCTTTATACTCGGTTACCTGAAAACCCATTGATTTTGCCATGCACCAGTGTTCATGCCTGTAATCCTAGCAACTCAGGAGGCAGAGATCAAGAGGATTGTGGTTGTAAGCCAGCCTGGACAAATAGTTCGTGAGACCTTATCTTGAAAACACCCATCACAAAAAAGGGCCGGTGGAGTGGCTCAAGGTGTAGGTCCTGAGATCAAGCCCCAGCACCGCAAAAAAAAAAAAAAAAAAAAAAAAAAAGACTCATTGGTTTTAATTTTTTTTTACCTTGTCATTCTGGGGATCAAACCTAGAGCCTTGCATGTGTCGCCACTGAGATATACACTAGTCCTTCCTTGCACTTTTCCCCATGCATGATTTTTGTAACATCATGAAATAGTCATTTGGAAAATGGCTATCAATGAGTTATGCAAATATTCCAGTTGACATATTTAACTATATTACACATCATGAACTTTTGGCATATTCCTACACAACTGTGAAAAAATGAGAGTGAAAAGGTAACTAACACTTTAAGTATATTTTAAAAGTAACTTGGACCTCCCAGTCCCCCTAAAAAGGTCTTGGGGACTCCCCAATGGTCCTTGAACCACACCTAGAGATCTGCTAAGCTATTATTTCAAGGAGAAGTGGTTTAGAGAGAGAAACAGAGGTTGGGTAATAAGGGACCTTGGGTTCTGTAAGGAACTTGGATTTCATCTTAGGGTGAGTAGTATAGTAGACCCTTGGTATCCATGGGTATATGGCTCCAGGGAGGCCACAGCTAAGGGAAACCGCCAATGCTCAGGATGCATGGAATTCAGTATTGCTCTGCAGATGCCTCATTTGTTTTCCTCGTAATACTGCCCAACTTCCGCTGAAGTCACTGCCACCTTTCAACAAAGCTAAAACTTTTCTTTATCACTTAAATTAAGCACATTACATGCCCTTTTTGGCTTTGGAGGATTACCATAATTTACCTTGCTTTTCGGTAGGCATATTTTCACAAAATTAAGGACAGGGAAACACTCAGCAGATCACATGATTTAAACACACTGATGCTAATGCGGGAATGACTAAGAGCTTTGCAGCATAACTGAGCTGCATAATGTGTGCGTGAGAATTTAAAAGTTTTGTTTTTGAGGCTGGGCACAGTAGCTCAAGTCTGTAATTGTAGCTACTTGAAAGGCGGAAATCAGGAGGATTAAAGTTTGAGGCCAGTCCAGACAAAAAGTTCTCAAGATCCACATCTCAATCACTAAAAGTTGGGCATGGAGGCAAATGCTGTCTTCCCAGCTTTGCAGGGAACATAGCATGAATAGGAGCTTGGTCCAGGCCAGCCTGGGCATAAATGCGAGTAACCCAAGCAGGCTGGCAGAGTGACTAGTGGTAAGAGCACCTGCCTGGCAAAACCCCAGTACTGCTAAAAAAAACCAAAAAACCAAAACCAAACAAAGCAAGAGGTTTGGCTTAAGTTGTACAGCGCCTTTTTTTGCAAGCATGAAACTGAGTTGAAACCCCAGTCCCACAAGAAAAAAAAAAAAAAACCCGCTGGGGGCATGACTCAAGTTGTGGAGCACCTGCCTAACAAGTGTGAGGCTCTGAGTTCAAATCCCAATACTGACAAAAAAATTTTTTTTTGAAAATATTTTGATTTTTTTTTGGGTGGGACTGGAATTTGAACTCAGGGCTTCACACTTGCAGATACTCTACTGCTTGAGTCACGCCTCCAGTCCATTTTGCTCTGCTTACTTTGGAGATGGGGTCTTATGAACTATTTGCCCCAGCTGTGTACGTTCAGCACAGGATTTAGAACATTTCAGCTGAGCTGCTCATGGCTGTGTATGACTTTGTTCTTTGCTTCCTGTATGTTTGTTTCCTGTAATACACATGTTGACTTTAAAAAAAGAAAAAGAAAAAGGTTGTTTTAAAAACCAAAAAATTTTTTAAAAAATGTGAATACTGTTCCTCAGTTGATGCATAATTCTTGTACTTCCTTTTTCCTGTTGGCATTATGTCTGCTTTCCAAGTTAGCACATACTGATTTACCTTATTTTTTTAAACTGCTGTATAATATTCCATGTGTACTATAATTTATTTCTAGCCTTTTGTCATAATCAGTGCTTCACTTAACACTCTTATATACACTTATCTACATCTCTGGGAATATTTCTCTAGGACAGGTATTTAGAAATGGAGTTTCTGGCTTGAAGCATCTTTACTCATTAAACTGTAGTACAGTGCCCACTAAAAAGGACTGCATCAATTTATACCTCTGTAGTGTTTTTGTTTTTGTCTTTCGGCAGTGCTGGGGATCAAACTTTGCATGTGCGAGGCAAGCACTCTACCACTGAGCTATGCCCTCAGCCCTCCACTTTTTCTCCCCTACATGGCTTTCGTCTTGCTTAAACACTACCCTGAATCCAAGAATCTAAATATATTCTCTAATTTCTGCCAACAAAAATTAGACTTTTTTTTTTGAGATAGGGTCTCTCTGTGTTCAGGCCTAGAACTCACAATCCTTCTGCTTTAACCTCCTGACTGCTGGGATTACAAGCATGTTCTACCATACCTGGATTTAGACTTTATTTCTTATATTTATTTTGTTTAATCCATTTAGAGTTTATTGTGGTATGGGGAAGGGATTCGAATTTGTTTGTTTTTTTAAATAGATGAACAAGCCAGGTGCCAGTGACTTGCTCTAGTAATACTAGCTACTTGGGAGGCTGAGATCAGGAAGGTTGAGGTTCAAGATTAGCCTAGGCATATAGTTTGTGAGAGCCCCCATCTCCAAAATAACCAGAGCAAAATAGACTGGAGGTGTGGCTAGAGCAATAGAGTGTGCAGAGTTTAAACCTCAGTCCTATCAAATAAATAAGTAAGTAGAGGAACAGTCAGCTTACCTGCTTTTATTTGTTTGTTTTTGGCAGTACTGGGGTTTTGAACTCAGAGCCTTATGGTTGCTAGGCAGGCACCTACCACTTGAGCCACACCCTCAGTCCTCAACTGTCTTTATTAAGGCCATTCTTTGTATGTCTCAAATTTTCTTATATATAAGGGCCTGTTTCTTGACACTTTAGTCTATTTCACTGATATGTTTGTCTTTTTTTTAATACTTGTTTGTTTTGTTTGTTTGCTGTGGTAGGGATTCACCCAGGTCTTGCACATGCCAGGCAAGTGTTCTAGTACTAAGCTACATCTTCAGCTTACTGTATTCTATTTTGATACCTGGTTGGCCAAGTCTTCCCTTAGTTATTATATTTTTCAAAAATTCCTTGCTTTCATATCTTCCTGGGGCCTCCATAAAAAAACCAAATCAAACAAATTCTTTTTTTTTTTTTATTTCTGAGCTCTTTATTTTTTTATTTACTTATTTTTTTATTATTCATATGTGCATACAAGGCTTGGTTCATTTCTCCCCCCTGCCCCCACCCCCTCCCTTACCACCCACTCCGCCCTCTCCCTCTGCCCCCCCTCAATACCCAGCAGAAACTATTTTGCCCTTATTTCTAATTTTGTTGTAGAGAGAGTATAAGCAATAATAGGAAGGAACAAAGGTTTTTGCTGGTTGAGATAAGGATAGCTATCCAGGGCATTGACTCACATTGATTTCCTGTGCGTGGGTGTTACCTTCTAGGTTAATTCTTTTTGATCTAACCTTTTCTCTAGTACCTGTTCCCCTTTTCCTATTGGCCTCAGTTGCTTTAAGGTATCTGCTTTAGTTTCTCTGCGTTAAGGGCAACAAATGCTAGCTAGTTTTTTAGGTGTCTT